GTGTATTTAACTGTATCTTCATTTCTATCCAAAAGCAATCAATGAATGAATTAGTTCTGGCATAGGTTCACTCACATACCCACTCCAATATCACAGGATTCCCCTTGGGATAATACACCTACACTGCAAGAGAGTGTTGGTGCAAGCACAGATTTCACCATTTTTATTTGACCACCAAGATAATCTAGGAGAGAGCACTATTTCTAAGCCCAGAAAAATCTTTACTTGTGCCAACAGGGGTGCACATCCTCCCATCCAATCCCATAGACAAAACATTACTGTATACTATTTTTGCCAGCACTTTCTTGGAGGAACTAAAGCTCAATATTGACCATTAAATGATGGAAAATGGTGGGCCTAAAGGCAACTGAAGGCACTGAGAGGATAATAGAGCTGAGGATAAGGTTTTCTTCATAACCCAGTTGGGTTATTTCATGAGGTTGAAATGGAACATTGTACAGGGTTATTTTCTAAAATTGAGAATTCAAAGTGCGTTGAAAGTGATTTTCAAATTCAAGGTACCTGAGTACTTGATTTGAAAGCATAGCTGACTTAGAGAACTTTTCCATTTTGGCTACTTTGACCTTAAATGTAAAATTCAGTTTTATTTCACACTTATTAAATAAACCTGTTAATGTTATCAAATTATTTAATATGGTTTATTTAACCAGTTTATGTTATCAGTAATTGAAGTTTAACAAATTTCATTTTAAATTCTTTATTTTATTTTTTGATGTGGAGGTATACAGCATGGACAATAGCCACAGTAAAGTATTAAACAATAAAGCAGGTGATGTATATCAAACAAAACAATAAACTGCACTTTTTTTGTTAGAGTAATAACAGCGTGGTTAGGTCAATGCATTCAGGTGTGGACCATTGGTAAAAAGCGGTGAGGTGCATTTGGACCAAAAAAGGTTTTTAAGCAAGTTAATCAGACTGCACGTGTGTATGCGGTTTGATAGTAGAGAGAGTGCAATTAGTCAGGTTTAATGACTTATAGAAAAATTGGTTAATCCACACTTTGTGATGCAGGTTGTCAGGCATGTCTAAGCTATCGGCAGGCATCTTGGAACAATAAGTCAATGTTTACTGGGCGTGTGTAGATGAGATAGTAGAATTAGGTACCACTGGACTATAGGTCCACATAATGTGGCTGCTTCTAGCTGTGCATGGTAACAAACATGTGTGGTATAACCAGATAAAAATCACAAGTTTAAAAAAGTCAAGTTAAACAAGTTTAGAAATACAGACTGAAATCAGGACCTACTGCCCCTGGATTAGTAATCCAGGGAGCTAACTTATGACAGCGAGGGGAAGCAAGGGCCACTGGCCTCTTAATATCGTAGGGAAGTAAGTGGTGCATTCACCTAGGGCCGGCGCTTCCTATAGGCGACTTAGGCAGTTGCCTAGGAGCATCGGTCCCTCATGCTGCAGCCACCTGAGCGCTCTATAGAGAACCTCAGGAGGCTGCAGCTCTGCCCAGACCGGCGCATCCATTAGGGTGCACCAGCCCGGGCGCACAAGAAAAGAGGGATGGGCAGGAGGGAAGCACTTCCTCCTGTCAGTCCCTCAGTGTAGCGTGGAAACAGAAACAGAAGCTCCTGTACCGCTGCCCGGACGGAGCTTGGCCACGCTACACTAGAGGTAGGGGAAGGGAGGAAGAGAGAGCTAGACAAGAGAAGGAGGTGGGGAAAGAGAGAGACAAGGGAGGGAGGGGAAGAGAGAGACAAGGGAGGGAGGGGAAAAGAGAGACAAGAGAGGGAGGGGGAAATAGAGACAGGAGAGGGAGGGGAAAGAGAGAGACAAGAGAGGGAGGGGAAAGAGAGAGACAAGAGAGGGAGTGGGGGAAGAGACAAGAGAAGAAGTGGGTGAAGAGAGACAAGAGAGGGTGAGAGAGACGAGAGGGAGATGGAAGAGAGAGACAAGAGAGGGAGGGGGAAGAGAGAGACAAGAGAGGGGAAGAGAGAGACAAGAGAGGGATGGGGAAGAGAGAGACAGGAAGAGAGACAAGAGAGAGGGAGTGGGAAGAGAGACAAGAGAGAGGGAGTGGGAAGAGAGACAAGAGAGAGGTAGGGGAAGAGGGGGAAGAGAGGGAGGGGGAAGAGAGACAAGAGAGAGAGGGGGAAGAGAGAGACAAGAGAGAGAGGGGGAAGAGAGAGACAAGAGAGGGAGGATGGAAGAGAGAGACAAGAGAGTAAGGGGAAAAGAGAGAGACAAGAAAGGAAGGGGGGAAGAGAGACACAAGAGAGGGAGGGGAAGAGAGAGAGACAAGAGGGGGATGAGAGAGACAAGAGAGGGGGAAGACAAGAGAGGGGGGCAGGGAGACCATGGAGGGGGGAGGGAGACCATGAAGTGAGGGAGGGGGGAGAGAGAGAGACAATGAAGGGAGAGAGGGGGAGAGCTCTAAGGGATTGGGGCAGGCAGAGCAATAAAGGACAGTGGGGCAGGATACAGCAGTAAGGGACAGGAGGCGAGAGCACTAAGGGAAAGGGGGCAGGGAGATCACTAAGGGACAGTGGGGTAGGGGAGAGCACTTAGGGACAGGTGGGGAGAGCACTACAGGAAAGGGGGCAGGGAGAAAACTGGGGGGAGGGGGGCATGAGAGACCAATAAGGGACTGGGTGGGGAGAAGAGACAAATAACTGACAAGGGAGAACTCTAAGTGATGGGAGAAGATAGTTTTAAGGGGCAGGGGAGATCTCTAAGGGACAGTGGGGCAGGGGAGAGCAATAAGGGACAGTGGAGCAGGATACAGCAGTAAGGGACAGGAGGGTAGAGCACTAAGGGACAGGGGAGATCACTAAGGGACAGTGAGGCAGGGGAGAGCACTAAGAGACAGGAGGGGAGAACTCTAAGAGACAGGAGGGGAGAGCACTAAGGGAAAGAGGGCAGGGAGAACACTGGGGGGGGGCATGAGAGAGGAGAGACCAATAAGGGACGGAATTGGGAGAAGAGACCAATAACGGACGGTTGAGAGCTCTAAAGGGGAGAAGGGGAGAGCTCTAAGGGGCAGAGGAGAGCTCTAAGGGACATTGGGGCAGGATACAGCAGCAAGGGACAGTGGGGCAGGATACAGCAGTAAGGGACAGGAGGGGAGAGCACTAAGGGAAAGTGGGCAGGGAGATCACTAAGGGGCGGGGAGATCACTAAGGGACACTGGGGCAGGGGAGAGCACTGAGGGACAGGAGGGGAGAGCTCTAAGGGATAAGAGGGGAGAGAGGCTGAGTAAGGAGGGAAAGAGAAGCAAAAATGGGTTGGTAGGACGCAGCCCCTATCCTATCCCACACTCTCTATTTCACACTACACACACACACAATGCATCCCTATACATACACAGAAACACAAAACACATCCCTACACACACAGAAACACACCATGCTTCCCTTACACACAGAGAAACCCACAATGCATCCATTACACACAGACACAATGCAATCCTTACACACAAAGACAATGCACCCCTTGCACACATACACAGAAATACACAATGCATTCCTTACACACAGAAACACACACTGCATTCATTACACACAGAAACACACAATGCATCATTATACACACAGAAACACACACTGAAACACAATGCATCTCTTACACACACTCAATGCACCCCTTACACACACTCAATTCACCCCTTACAGACACACACACTGCATCCCTTACATACACAGAAACACACCTTGCATCCCTTACACATACAAACACAGATTCACACAATGCATCCCTTAAACACAACTAGAAACACACAATACATCTTACACACAAACACACACTGCTTTCTATCTCTTTCTATCCCTAAACACAATGCATACACTACACACACACACACACACACGCACACACAGCATCACCTACACAAACTGATATCCTTATACACTACATTCCATTAGCACACACTTTAGATCCTCTACACTAACACATAACACATCCCCTACACACATTAAAGGGACACTATTGTCCCCAGAACCACTGCAGCTTAATGTCTCTACATGCTTTTTAATGTAAATATACACTGTGTGCAGCACTGGTGTTAGTTCATATGGCAGATCATATGGGTGGGGCATTGTGGTGTCACATGGGGGGCAGCGGCAAATTTTGCTTTTGCCTAGGGTGGCAAAAATCCTTGCACCGGCCCTGCATGCACCTATGGTGTAGGATAAGAGGCTGACACCCACAACTCTGAGGTATCTTGTGGTGCATGGTTACATAACATGGGGGTGGGGGGAATACGCAAACGGGAAGTCTATTCCCTGGTGCCAGCAGGAGGTGGTAGGGTGAGACTCGGCCTAATGGGAGTACTTCTGGGTACCCTGTTATAGAGATGTCAAGGCAAGACAATTAAACATAATATAAACGTTTAAAACAATATGGCAAAAGAGGTTGCAAACAGTGCTATAGGTAAACTTGGTAGAATGGTGTCATTCAAGATATCTCCTAGGAAGCAGGATTCTTCCTTTGGGCCGCAAGCATGACTGGGCGAACTTGGGATAAGTCCCAGGTGGCGGGCTATGATGAGTGGCCTGGGGAATGAGTTGCCGCAGCTGTGGTGGATAGTCCAAGTTTTTGGAGTGTGCTAGCAGTCTCTGTGGTTTCAGTGACTTTAAGAGTCCTGGATTCACTTAAAAGTCTCTTCGGGAAACCCCACCTGTATGGTATTTTGTGTTTAGCAAGATCCAAGGTTAGTGGATGTAGAGACCGCCGCCAGTCCATAGTTGCCCTGGGCAGGTCAGGATAGAAAGATAGAGTGTGCTCCTCGAAATGGTACAGGGACAAGGATTTGTTGCGTACTGCGGACATTAATGCCTGTCTGTCTGGGCCTTTTTGGTACCAGATAATGATGTCTCTGCTGATGTTCGGTGCGCCTGCCTGTGGGGCCGGTAGTCAGTAGCAACCATCCAGGATATGGCCTTAGACTGGCTGAGAAGAGGCTAGTAAGGAATCTCCTCCCTACATGTGGGATTTCAGCCACCATAATACTGTCGGCGAAGCCTCTCATTTTAATATTTTTTCCAGTGTCTGTGGTCCTCCATGGCCGCCATGCAGTTCAATATTTGGGACTGTTCATGTTTGAGTCTTGTCAGCTCACTGTCCAAGTTAGTGAGTCGGATCTCATGCACAGTTGTGGCAAGCTCTGTATCATGGAGGCACACAGATACCCCACTGATCTCCTTCTTAAATGCGTTGATGTCTGCAGCAATGTTTCGGCTGAGGTCTCCTAGGAGGGTTTTCAGAGTTCCCTCTGTAACAAGCTGCTCAGCAGTCTTCATAGGAGACACAGTGGCATTGCGTCTGATAGCTGGCAACTCCAGCTCTCCGATATCAGCAAAGGATGCTTCACTGGAGCACCGGTAAGGTCCATCTGAGTGTGTCACCATTTCTGGCCTCATGGCTGACTGCGGCCTCCAGAGTAAGTTGCCTATATCAGTGGTCGCTGGGGGCCTATCCGCCCTGCATTTCTTACTTTTGCGCCCTATGGCTCGGAGACCCGATCTCTCACACCAGGGCACTTGTAGCTGTACATTTTCTTTACTTTATTACGGTTTTTGCGTTGGTCGTCTCAGAGCTGCCCTGAAACACACCCGGAGAGTATGGCTGCTGACTACGCCCCCGTTTAACTAGTTAAGTGTTCTTGCATAGAAAGAACACTTAATGTTATCTCACATATATATTATTCTTATTATTATTATAGCCAAATTTACCACCCTAACTCCTCCCACAGTTTTTACACTACATAGACAGAAATATACCAAAACGTGCGGATTGTTCCCGATTGGATTGCTATTACTTTGTGGAACGTTTCGCCGAATGGTTCACGGAATATCGTCGTTCTTGTGGTGAAATTGGTCCTATAGGAATGAATGGCAAAACGTTCAGCTATCCCTGCTGCCACTAAACATGTCCACAGCTAAGCCATAGTCCTGATAGTTTTCACAATATGACCATTTGTTTGCAACTCATGCTGTCCATTGACATTCATTGAAACTCCACTCTTTTTTTTCTTCCACTCTAGCCAGCTCAAATTTGAAGGGCAATTTCTAAACTGCAACTGTGCCTTCATTGTTAATATTTCAGAGACATACTATGCATCACAATGTAGGTCTGGGTCTTGTGATTCTCACAATATAAAGCTAAAGGATTTATAGTTTTTAAAATACGACCGTTTGAAGATGGCAACCGCCAAAATACTCTGACCTGTGCCAGGCTGGAGCACCAAGTGATGTCATAGACAGGTCCTTTTTGTACACCTGCTAATGTTTTTATAAATGTATGTTTTAATGTAACTGTGAAGAACTTTGGGCAACAACGTTGCAATTAAATGTATTATATAAATAAATAATAACAGTTACTCTGCCCACTTCAGTTGTAGACTACTGCTGGAGGCAAGAACACTTCACACAATTTACCCAGAAATTGTAGCTTTTCTAGTTATTATTATTTTTCTTATTCTTATTATAGCCAAATTTACCACCCTAACTCCTCCCACAGTTTTTACACTACATAGACTGTAATATACCAAAACGTGCGGATTGTTCCCGATTTGTGTGCTATTACTTTGTGGAACGTTTCGCTGAATGGTTCACAGAATATCATTGTTTTTGTGGCATTGTTAATATTTCAGAGACATACTATGCATCAACATGTAGGTCTGGGTCTTGTGATTCTCACAATATAAATCTCTTCGCTGTAGGATGTATAGTTTTTAAAATACGACCGTTTGAAGATGGCAACCGCCAAAATACTCTGACCTGTGCCAGGCTGGAGCAGCAAGTGATGTCAAAGACAGGGATTTTTGTACACCTGCTAATGTTTTTATAAATGTATGTTTAACCCCTTAACGACAAGTGACGGACAAGGTCCGTCACTCAGGGGATTGCCATAACGACGAGTGACGGACCTCGTCTGTCACCCGTTAAAATTAACCCCGGGGTTAATGGTGCTCCGGTCTGCCTCTATATAGAGGCAGACCGGAAACACCCGAGAGTGCTGCCCCAGCACATGCTGTCAGAGCGAGCACATTTGCTTAGTATACTTACCTTCCGCCTCTCTGCACTTCCTGGTTCTGTGTGAAGTGCAGGGAGCTGGAACGGTGATGATCCTGCCCCCTGTGTAAAAAAAAAAGTTAATTTAAAATCCCACCCTCCTTTACCCATTTTAATAAAAAATTAACCCCTTCCCTGCCAATTGATCATTGACTACAGTGATCAATTGGCAGGGATTACATTTTAATTCTTTTTTTTTTTTTTTTAACCCTCGGGTGTTACATTTATTTAATTAATTAAATATTTTAAAATGATATATTTAGCTAGCTGGGGTAGGTGGAAGTTAGCGGGGAATTGGGGGATTTGGTGTTAGGCTAACTAGGGGTTAGCATTAAAAAAAGTTTTAAAATAAACTTTAAAAAGTTAAAAATTAAGCTAAAAAAAGTTTTAATAACGTTTCAGTAAAAAATAAAAAAACACCCCCTTTACCCAGTCCAAATATAAATTAGCCCCTTCCCTGCCAGTCGATCACTGCCTACAGTGATCAAAATACAGATCACAGTATTATACTGTGATCTAATTTTTTTTAACCCCTTAAACTTTTAGTTATTTTCTGTTTATTTTTTTAGCCCTCAGGGGTTCAATTTATTTAATTAATTTAAATATTTTATAATTATATATTTTGCTAGCTGGGGTGGGTGGGAGTTATGGGAAAATGAGGAACTTACTGTTAGTGCTGCTTACTGCTAGTTAGGGGTTAACGGTAAAAAAAAAAAGCTTAGAAAAATGTTAAATCTGTAAAAAAAGTTTTAAGAAAGTTTAGGAAAGTTTTCAAAAAATTAATAAGCAAAACAAAAGTTTAAAAACTAGTTTTTAAAAGTAAAGAAAGTTTCAAAAAGTAAAAAAAATACATTTAAAAACGCTCATTACCACTACACCTGGAACAAACTAGAGAAAATATGATCCCACGCTAAGGTTCAAAATATGCCTTTTGAATTACCCCAGGGTGTATTCTTTAATAAATAGTATGTGTTTTTGTGGGGAAGTTTCAATAACCAAACGTCTAAACTACTCCAAATTGGAACATGGACACAGCGTAAAACTTCAAAGTTAGAAAAAAATTGAATGGCTGCGTCTCAAATGCGCCCCTTCAACATCCATATACCTGGCAAAGGTACATACGGTGGTATTGCTGTACTCAGACGACATAGCTGAGCAACATATGAAGTATTATACAGTCGTAGCACACTGTATAATAGCCTGCAAAATATACTGTGCAAACTCACTTTGTGTGTCAAAAAGGCAGAAAAAACATTTGGTACAAGCTAGCGGAAAAATGATCCCACGCTAAGGTTGAAAATATGCTTTTGAAATACCCTGGGATGTCTTCTTTAAGAAATGGTATGGCTTTATGGGGTATTTGGATTATATAGCCTGGTAAAATACTCTATAATGGGACATGGGCACAGCGTAAAAATTTTAAGTTTGAAAAAAACTGGAATGGCTGTGTCCCAAATGTGCCCCTCCGATGTCCACATATACCTGGCAAAGGTACATACGGGGGTATTGCTGCACTCTGCCGACATATCTGAGCAGAATATGAAGTATTATACACTGGTAGCTCACATAAGGTTTGCAAAATATACTGTGCAAACTCAGAAAAAACTGGTACAAGCCAGCGGAAAAATTATCCCACACTAAGGTTCAAAATATACCTTTTGAAATACCCTGGGGTGTCTACTTTAAGAAATGGTAGGCCTTTGCGGGGTAGTTTGAATTTAAACCCTGCTAAGATGCTTGGAAATTGCACATAGCCCCAGCGTCAAAATTCAAAGTTCGGTAAAAACTGATATGGCTTGGTCTCCTATATGGCACTGTAGCTTCACGAAATAGTGCCAAAGACATACAATAGGAGTGTCCTTTTACTCAAAAGACGTAGCTGAGCATAATGTGGTGGGTTTGAACTTAGTGGCACATGTGAAATATACAAAATGCCCAGTAAAAATGCAATCCATATGTAAAAAATGCACAAATTTATTTTTTACCACATACTTTGGCATATATTGGTGAAACAATGGGGGCATGGTAAGGCACAATATGCAACTTATGAGATACCCTGGAGTGTCTACCTTTACAAATGGTAGGCCTTTGTGGGCTTTTTAGAACAGTCAAACTGTTATAATACCCCAAATGGAAGCATAGGCTCATTAAATCCGTTTCTCAAAATTCTACTGTAAATACTGAAACGGACAGGTCTCCTATATGGCACTGTAACTTCACGAAATAGTGCCAAAGACATACAATGGGGGTGCCATTTTACTCGGCAGATGTAACTGAACACAAAATAAAACTTTTTCCAGGAACAGCACACACCAACTTTACAAAACACACATGAGAATTTCTTTGTTATAAGTTTGTGTGCCAAAAACCCAAAAAAACCAGAATTTTACTTCAATATTTAGCAGAGGTTGGCGGTGAAATGGCTACGTAGAAAGTGTCAAAACAACCTTAGGTAAATAGCCTGTTATGTCTACGTTATATAAATACATACTTTTGTGTGGCAATTTTGTTTTCTTTTATGGCTATTAAGCTTACAAGACAAACATACCAAATTCTAAAATCACTCCACATTAAAAGTTTATTTTACTCCTTGTGCTTTGTGACCTGTAACTACCAAAAAAAAACTTAAAATCCCAGACACATTATATTATCTGTAAATCAGAACAACTAAATGAATTTATTTTTAATTACTTTCCTTAACCTGCACTAATTATGCACACATTATTATTGCAAAAACTGTAAAAAAAAACACAAAAATTTTCATTTTCTTTGCATTTTTCTGTATTTTTTATATAAATAAGCATTTATATATATGTGTGTTACATCAAACTAAAGCCCTTTCTGTACTTTAAAAAACAATGTATAATATGTGTCGGTGCAATAAATTAGTAAAATGCAAATTGCAGTTGAACGCAAACAGCAAAAAATGAAAAAAATCCTGTTGTCATTAAGTGAAAGACAAGCTTCTGAAGCTCTGTCCTTCAGGGGTTAAATGTAACTGTGAAGCACTTTGGGCAACATCGTTGCAATTAAATGTGCTATATAAATGATAACAGTTACTCCGCCCACTCCAGTTGTAGACTACTGGTGGAGGCAAGAACACCACACAATTTCCCCAGAAATTGTAGCTTTCTAGTTTTAATATATGCCCTACATCAGGGGAAGGAAATCTCTGGCACTCCAAATGTTTGTAACAACATCTCCTCAATTCTTTGCCAGCATCATGGCTGTAAGAGCATTATGGGAGATGTAGTCCACGATATCGAGAGTGCCAAAGGTTGTCTAACCCTGCCCTACATTGACATAACATAACCAACAGAAAACAAGATATAACCAACCTAGCCGAGAGTAACCACCAACATCCTCATTTACATGCAAGAAAAGAAAAGGGTTCCGCTCTTACACCGGAATAAGCACATAGCAAGAGAATGTAAAATAAATATGTAAAAGAATATGCCCGGTGATATTATTTCATATAGAGGCAGATTATTCTAGTCTCTATCTGTGTACAGTTTACATTTATGATATTTACATTCTGAGCGCATGGAAAATATATGTTTTTCATTTTAACTTGTAGAAAGCACGATCATCACTCAATCTAGAAGGAAAATCAAAAGTGATGTATAATTCATAGCTACATTCACTTCCCTTTATGTGCTGAACAAGTATGTATAATTCAAGAGTACTTTGCTTCTTAGGAAAATATAAACTGCTGCAAACTACAGAATGCTTCTCTATAAGTGGGCAAGGAGGGAATTGCATTCATAAGAAACAGTTTAATTCCATTTACCAGGCTTCACCGACCTCACAGAAAATCAGTATGTGTATACCCCTTCTATATACAAAGATTACAAATCATAATTCAGTGTTAATCATCCGTTTCCTTCATTAGAAAATACTGAAATGTAGTGAGAGCAATGCTTCTGTTAACGAAGAAAGCAAATATTTTCTTCTCAAATTTGCTGTAATTTAACGTTGATAGAATATATTTCTGAACAACCTGGAAAAATATATAAATACATGAATGTAGTGAATTACATTATGGAGTTATTAAACAAACATTAATACCCTTCCAACAATTGCAGCTCATTGAAGTGGTTATGGAGGCAGTGTCTTGGATAACTGTCAACTGAAAATAGGTCAGATGTCTTCTTAGGGAACGCAATTTTCAGCACTCTGAAAATGCAATTAAAGTCAAATACCTTTATTTCTTAATAGCAAAAAAGCAACACAGGAAACCACAGCTTGACAAAAGCCTCTGCGTAGGCCAAAACGCTGCACTTCTTGTTCCAATAAAGCTGCTTCATGATAGATCTTGAGTACCTGGACCATATTTACTCTCTAACAAAGGAAACCATGACCATCATCTGACTGATGTGCAGGTCATTAGAGTATCTGGACACCATCTTACCTTTAGGGGTTAAATTACTATCAAAAGGACTTAGTAGTCCTTCAGCACCCAACACCACTGCCCCTTCCTTTGTCTCTGCAGCCACAGTATGAAGAAGGTTTTGCCAGGTGGCTGGTGAGAGTTTGAGAGCATCAGCTGACAATCTCAGCATATTGCTGGCCTGCCCGTTAAGACAAATAGAACTTATCTCAATGGGCTACCAGTGACAGCAAGAGCCTCTTAACCAGTATGGTTGTTTCACCCACTGATCCAGTTTGCATTATCTTGCACAAGCAGGAGACTGCTTCCATACATTCTCTCATGCTTGTCATGCTATCATACTACCACGCGTCAGAGGCAAATAGTCGAAAATAAAAAATAATCAAAGGAGACAAGCAACCAAAATGTCATGAGAATGAGCCTAACAATGTACTGCAAGATATTTACATGATATATAAATAAGAAGTAACTAGGCAAGAAATGAGGAGCAGTAAAACAAAAATCTATATTTATCTATGTGTATATTATATGTTTAGTAAATCTATAATGTATAAATATAGATTTATTTATTTTACTGCTCATACTTTCCTCTGTCTGTTGCTCACTTCTCGCTATATCTGTAAATAATATCAACAATTATTTGCTTTCCTCTGATCATGAATCATCTTTTTTTTTGCATTAATAATGAAATCTTCATGACCCTCCCTCCCCCAACCTTTTTTCTAACCTTTTGTGAAGGAGGGGGGGACACTGTCCTAGTGTTCCAATGCCGATCTATATAGCCTGCAGCTCATCTGGCTGCAGGTTATCTTCACTCCTCCTGAGCTGAGCGCTGTGCGGAGCATTGCCATGGCAATGAGATCTTTGATCTCCCAACAGTCCGAGGGCCCAGCGGAAAAAAACGGGGCCAGCTCTCCATGGACCAGCAGGGGAGATCAAAGGATCTCCCCTGTCGGCCTTGGTACAATGCTCATGGGGAAAGACGGTCCTATGGCTGCGTGCCCACAGAGAGGGCTTGGTGTGCCAGCTGTGGCACACGTGCCATAGGTTCACCATCGCTGATGTAGTATTTGTGTACAATTGTTTCTATGTGTTTCTTTCAGTGCTATAGATGAGATCTGTACTTTGCCATTCTCAGCAGTAGTCCTGGAACGAAGTATATTAATGTTAACTAACGAGGGTTTACGCATGGTTACATTATTTCATTAGTGTGTTTTTTATTCTCATTATAAGTCACAGTAAGCTCAGGTTATTGATGTTTTGAATGGAGTTTTTAATGTCCAGTAGGCTAAGAATTGATCATTAATCTCCCTCTACAATATTGTTTCATGAAAAAAGCACATGGACATCTACTGGTAACTTTTAGCAAGGGCAAAAGTTATATATAGACAAAGGTTAACTGATCAGAGTGGACAAAACATATGTAGGAAGTACTTATCCCTGTGCACCAATGACTCTTTCTAAAACAATTTGTTTAAAAAAAAGTTTGACAGAGCCATGAAAATATTTACTCCTCCATGAAATTCACATGATTACCTGTCAGTAACTATAAACATAGATGAAGGGTCATGTTATGGGGAAAGTAATGTGCTTTAATTAATGTAAACCTTTGTCATTTTTGTAAATGGGAAATATCTATTATATCATACATCATTAAATATAATATAATTGGATGGCTAAGTAAATGATGCGGACTGAGGACCATAAGGAGTCCAGGAAGGCAACATGTACTCCAAAGGATATCAATCGGACAATATTTTGTAAGCAATATAAGCATATTCTTTGGAGTGCATTCGAGCAGGGATATAATTAAATATGTATTGGTGCAGAAGACTGAAGTTTACAGCTGTCAAAATTTAATTAGGAAAAGATTAGGATATTGCAGTGTGTGTGCATACAAATTTGACTGCTTCCAAGAAGAATAAAACCAACTATAACATTACAATAGAAATTTTGAAACTGCCACTGAAATATTAATGAGATATTAACAAATGATATTGGTGTTTATTCTAGTTCATTTTTAAAGAACTCTCAGTAGAGAAATTGGGACACAGAGTGAGTAGGCAGGTACATTTATATTCTGTTTCAGTAATTCCTTATTAATACAACATTTCTGTCCTACGTGTCTTTTTTTAAGTTATCGATGAAGAGGTGACACTAAAACACGCTCCACCAATGCTTTTAAGAGAAAAATGTCCTACTCGCATATTCACCTTTGTAATAATATTATAACAAGGAGGTATATTTACTGTAGGATTAAATGCCTTTAAGGGGAAACTGTCACTTCACAGGATTTTCCATATTATGTGTAAAATAAGGTGATAGCGGACAAATGGTAATTTCAGGTCACAGCAGCACGGGTAGATAAGAGGAAATCTATTAAAATAAATATAAAAGCAACATAGCATAAACTGTGTAACGTGGTATCCGCATAAACAGTATAGAGGACACTCACGAATTAGAGAGCCCTCAAGATTGACTCTGGACTCTTTTGGCATTTTTAACACTCGCAGGTTGATGTTGTGTATCTGGTTTCCTTGGTGTTGTCCTTATGAATAGTGGATCAGAAATAAATAGTATAAATACACTTTATTAAAACACAACAAATGCACTATGGTGGTTAAAATACAAAGCACTATGCATTTCGACCCGTGACAGGTCTTCCTCAGGTGCATCTACCAACAAGAATGCAAACATACTATTTATACATAACTTAATAGCAAAGTGAGATACAGGTGTGTAATTACAATTTCATATATGGTTCTTGGGGGTACTATTTCCATTTTCCAGTTTCTAAAATGTCAAAAAACGTTTTCAATATTATGTTTACTCTTCCCTATATGTAACAAATACGTATTTGCATGGTGTGAAAAATAATATAAAACTAAATCTTTTCCCTTTAACTGGATACCTCAGTCTTAGCTCTATATGTCTATATGTCAATAGTAAAGTATAATTGCATACTATTGAAGGACCCCTACAAGACTTATCACCCCTGGAAACAGCATAGCATTGATCATTACGGAAGAAGATGAGATAATTTTAGAGCTCCGTTTCTAAAAATTGTAGTTTCTTTTTTGTCCTCCATGATCATTCTGTAGTTAATAGTGTTAAAGGGCGACTGTGCATAATTTTAGTACTGAATTGACATGTGGCGTTCCTGACTGCCTAAGTCACATGTGCTGTGGGTGCAACTAACTCAAATGCTAACTGCAAATATCTGTAATTAATAACTTTACACATTCATACTCCTAGCACCATAACCACTTTCATAAGCAGAAGTGATCATGGTGGTTGGAGCAACTCTATAAGGTTAATTCCTTATTTGATGGACTTGTTGGCATTTCCATCATTTCTCACTAGATCCGATGGTGTTCTGAGTAAAAATTAGGTTTGTTAGTATTTATACAAACTTAAAAGTTCACTCTTGCTGGAGAATTTAATACTTTCACATGCAACATCTGCCTTTATTTCTGTCTCCTAACTGCCCTTTTTCCTGTTGGTTTGGGCTTAATTTAAACTGTTTATTTTATGATGTTATACTTCTTAAAATAAGCAAAAGCATGGTAAAAAGTATCATTATTTTCCATAGTGCATGTTTTCATGTAAGTCAGTTTCATAAATACTATTTTGTACAATGTGGATTAATGTTTTTTATTTAACTGCAGTGTTCCAGCAAAAGCAAGATGATAAAAAAATGTATGGCACAATTCAACATCCAGGTGAGAATGAATTTATTCACAAGCGAACAGCTCATACACAAAAATGTTCAGTCTAAAAGCATACAAGGCTGATTAAAGTCATCTGTCTCTCAACAAAATTATGAATTATTTAAACCATTTGGCCATATGTATGAAGACCACCACTGTTTTAAAGAACATCAACTGTAGTGAGTCCTGCTCTCACTTTCTTATATGAGATTAACATGTAAGTTACAAAGTTTACGCACCTCACATTTAAGCTTTACATGGGTGATCTATATTTTATGTTTTTATTTTACTTTTAATTTTTCAAATCTTTCTTATTTGGGTTTCATAGTAACTCACATAGTAGTACACAGGCTCTAAGTCGTCCGAAAAGTATCGATCAGCATATCTTATTGTCAACTAAATATATCCTAATTTAAGGTCATTTGTCATGTGTCAAACGTATTTTAATCTGTAATGCTGAAAATGAAATCACATTTGTGCAAGAATATATGTATTGCGAACCCAGAAGGTATACCAACTAAATAAACTGCTAGTATGTGTGAAATGTGTTGTAAGTGAGAACTGCTACATGTGTAATGTTGTTGGTAAATCATAACAGGAAGCGAAACAGACACTTGTATGTGCAATTTAGGAGAAAATAACACATTTTGTAATTTTGAACACTACTATATGCTTTGCACGACTAGATCTGTGTTGTTCAGAGTATTTATTATTGCCAGAGAAAGTCTGAGACACATCTTCTTACTGGGCAGGAGGATTCTCGGAGCTGAGTGTAGTGACATGAGCTCAAAATGATCTCTGGTTATTGCTTATCACTGTGTTTTTGTGTTTGTCATGATTGTATTACTTTAACTCCTTGGCTGCTGGGCTATTTTACATCCATGTGCTGTAGCCTTTTTAAGATTTTGCATTCATTGCATTCAAACAGTAGAAGTGCTTTTTCTGTTACCCCAACAAATTATATATTGGGGTGTTTAGGTAGATCATACACTTTTAGAAAATAACTTTACTTTGCAAAACAAATTCAAACATCAAATGACCAAAATGTTTGTTACAGTTTTATAGGGAAAAATAATTCCCAAGATAATTTGATCCAGTTTCTTATAAGTCTTAAAGGACCACTAAAGGACCCTGATTTTTCAGCTTATTCTGCTATTTTTTGTGTGAGATTGAAAATACACTGCAATACCAGCGCTGGCCAGTAGGTGGTGCTGTGTATGGAGAGAGACAGGGATAGGGAGCTGCATCTTATCCCTGCTTCTCTCTGACTGAATCCGCAGAGGAGCCTACAGAGAGCCTACAGATCAGGTAAGTGAGGCATGGGGGTGGGGGGGCAGAGATAGCCTACAGATCAGGTAAGTGAGGCATGGGGGGGCAGAGATAGCCTATAGATCAGGAAGTGAGGCATGGGGGCAGATAGCCTATAGATCAGGTAAGGAGGCATGGGGGCAGAGATAGCCTATAGATCAGGAGTGAGGGTGGGGGGAGAGAGAGTCCACAGATCAGGAGTGAGGATTGGGGGGCAGAGATAGCCTACAGATCAGGGAGTGAGGATTGGGGGCAGCCTACAGATCGGGAGTGAGGATTGGGGGCAGAGATAGCCTACAGATCAGGGGAGTGAGGATTGGGGGGGGGATAGCCTACAGATCAGGGGAGGATTGGGGGCAGAGATTCCAGAGACAGATCAGCCCTACAGATCAGGGAGTGAGGATTGGGGGCAGAGATAGCCTACAGATCAGGGAGTGAGGATTGGGGGCAGATAGCCACAGATCAGGAGGATTGGGGGCAGAGATAGCCTACCGATCAGGGAGGAGGCATGGGGCAGAGATAGCATACAGATCAGGAGTGGGGCATGGGGGAGGAGGGCAGAGATAGCCTACAGATCATGGGAGTGGGGCATGGAGGGGCAGAGATAGCCTACAGATCAGGGGAGTGGGGCATGGGGGGGCAGAGATAGCCTACAGGAAGGGTCAGCAAGGAGCAGGAAGGTAAAGTAAGAAAAGGAGCAGAAAGGGGCAGCAAGAAGCTGGAAGGGACAGCAAGGAGCAAAACAGGTAAAGTAGGAGAAGGAACACAAAGGAACAGAAATGAGCAGGAAGGGTCAGCAAAGAGCTAGAAGGTAAAGCAGCACAGATGTAGAGTAGAAGGAGCAGAATGGGTCAGCAAGGAGCTAAAAAGGCAGGAAGGGACAAAAGGAGCACACAGGTGAAGTAGGAGAAGGAACAGAAATGAGCAGGAAGGGTCTGCAAGGAGTAGGAAGGGGCAGCAAGGAGTAGGAAGGGTCTGCAAGGAGAAGGAAGGGTCTGCAAAGGGCAGAAAGGGACAGAAGGAGCACAAAGGTAAAGAAGGAGAAGGAGCAGAAAAGGGTAGCAAGGAGCAGAAAGGGACAACAAGGAGCAGAAAGGGATCAGAAAGAGAAAGGAGCAGAAGGGGAAGCAAAATAAGCAGAAGGTAGCAGAAAGGTAATGGAGCAGAAGGAGCCAAGGAGGAGAGAAGACAGTGTCAGAAGAAAAAGAAGACTGTGTCAAATGAAGGAGAAGAAAAGGAGATTGGAGAAGGAAGGACACGTGAAGTGAACCCTCCACAGGCTTTGGTACCTGAGCCTGGCAGGGAAACTTTGGACCTTCTCATCTCCCCAGGTAAAAAAAAATATCAGTGTTAATGTGTTCACTTTTATTTACTGAGTGTCAGGAAGCACAGAGTGCCGCTGGGGAGGGGTGTCGCTGATTGGCTAGAGCGGTCAGCTGGTACTCTAAGCCAATGAGTAGCTCCTAAATTCATAAAAAAGTTTTTAAAAATTATGAACTGGGAACTAGCGATTCGCTTAGGGCATCAACTGACCACTCTAGCCAATCTGAAGCACCCATGCCTGACGTCAATCTGCACTTCCTGACACTCAGTTTCAAAAGCCGAATACCACTGAGCGACCTGGAAATCTGGAGCTGGAGGAAGACTTTGGGGTTAAACCATTTGAGAGCGGTTTAACCCATTAAAAGGAAAGAGAGCACCCAGGGGCTTCCTGGCATCATAGCATTTTCATTTAGATGATGTTGTTACAGTGACCAGAATGTTCCTTTAATTTGCTTAAAGGAACACTATCGTGTCAAGAATACAAACATGTATTCCTGACACCATAGTTGTGAAAACGCTATTCACCCTGGCTTTATGTGATAATGACTATGCTCCTCCAGTTCATGACACTGTCAAAAAGGGACCAAGGATGGATGGCATTACAATTATGCCCCCCCTGGAAAAATTCCTGCGGACGTCCATGAAGGGACTCTGTAGGCACTATAACTATTTCATCACAATAAACTGGTTATAGCGCTTGTAGTCCCCCAGCACTATCCCTCCATTCAGTGGTAAATTGTTTTCAAACAGTTTAACTCTAAATAAGGATCCCTGGCCACTCAGTCTTGAACTAACTGGAGGTATGACTAAAGCAGAGATTACACTCCTCTATCTAGCAATACTTACTCATATCAATGATGGTCACTGTGATAGGCTGAACGTAGTCACTGCCTACCACTTCTGCTCAGGTTAATGTGTACTCATTAGCACAAGTAGTAAAAAGGGCATGGGCTGTTGGGACTCTCATTTAGCAATACATCAAAAGCTTTAAAGCTGAGAGGAAAAGTGGCACAAGGAGACTCCAGACACTAGATCCACTTCAATGAAATAATTCAGTTACAATGCCCATAGTGTCACTTCAAGTAAAACCTGAAATATTGCTAATATTAAGATTACTTAGCACCTTAATATCCAACCTTAAATAAATTAGCTTATTTTTTTTTTTTTTTACTTTCAGCAATCCTTCAGAAAATGGAAGAGAAAAAACTGTATAGCACAGTATCATACCCAGGTAAGGATTAATTAGAAATAACTCTGTAAAATGGTAATTTGAACTTATTTTTCATAAATGTTCATGTGTGTTGTAAAACAAATTCTGTAGCAAAATAATGAAGAAAACAAAAAAGTGTAAAATATGTAAGCTGGGACAAATTTTAGAGTAAGGCTTGAGGAGTCAACATTTCATGAACCAATTTCAATGATATTATATACAAAGAAAGTTTAACGTATGTAGATTTGTTTGACTAGGTATGGAAGATAACATCTTTTAAATGAGCTCCATTTAAAACCTCGCAAAGTCAGGCTCTTTTAATTGGATTGTTCATAACATTAGTTAATGGTTGAGACTCTACCTCTCAAATTAAGCGCTCAATAACTTCCTGCGAGGTTATTTCTCACCAGACAACGGTGCTTTTGACAGATTGCAATTTCCATCTTGTTGTAGTGGAAGGACGCAAGTAGGCAACAGGGTTGTCAGTGTGTTTTTTGTCCAAACAGTTTGACAAAAAGTAGGTTTCCCCAGTGCCCAAAGCCCACCCGCTTGGCATGACATAATAAGGAAGCCAAATTGCAGTTAACCATTTTCTGAGATGCATAGTTAACCCCACATCCCTTATTAGTATGGACTTGCTGTGTGTATTCATGTGTAAATAGATAATTGTAGTGTGTGTGGGAATGCAGGTATGTATTTCTGTGTTTGTGTGTCATTCTGATTGGATTTTTACCCATGTCCTCCTATAGCTATCTCACATTACCCCATTTTGTGTATCTTTCACACTAGTGTCCCTTCATCTATCTTGCCCATGCACATGATGTGACCACAACCAGTGGAAAACAGTGCTCTAGTAGAGGCAGTTATTTTTCCAAAGCTCGCCAATTTTCTACTTTCATTTAGCCATTAACTGTAGAAATTCACAAGTATAAAAAGACAAAATATTTGGAGGTAATTTCTCATTATTTTATGATATACAGAATTTGGAAATGTAATAAACTAGGCTTTAAAAATAGTTTTCATTAGAATGTTGAAAAGATACAATTAAAACACAAATAAAACTAAAATTGTAAGTGTTATCCACATTTTAGAAGAGTTAATTCACAAAACAAATAGTTGTAGTGTACTAAAAATCAAAATTTCAAAATTGAGACAAAAGTGGTGATTTAGAAAATACCTCCAACGTGGTCATCATCATGGTCTATTTACCCTGAATTTTGTCGTTTGGAATTCAGTTCACTGCAGCTCTGTGTTTAGTGTTAAACAAGAATTAATCTTGAAAGGAACATTCCTACCCCATAACAACTTCATGTCAGTGAAGTTGTTATGATGGCAGGAGTGCTTTGACATGGTCTTAAATTCATCGGTTAGATTATTTTCGAACAGTGTAACTGCAAAGTTGTCCCCCTGGCATTCTACAGTAGAGGAATGTTTGCTTTTCCAGCATTTCACATTTAATTAGTATTAGTAGGACTTTCATTATTTATAATGTCAATAAAATCTGCAGCGCTGTGGACTAACAAACAAGGTTTTGCAATAAGATATGTTATGCGTAAAGGAGAAGGTGCTGGGGTTCTTGCTCAAGCAAGCTTACATTCTAAGAGGAGTGGGATAAAATGACACAAAAGGTAAGGGTAAGATGTATTTCATGCATAAGAAAAATATGTTGCTAGAAGAGTTTACAAAAACACTTATTTTATTAGATGACACCATTTGCAGGAGAGATGGTGACTTAGTGTGGGGTGGATAGAGAAAGTAGTTAACATTAATATGATTTCTTAAAGTGAGTCTTCAGTCTAATGGAAAGGGCAAGAGAGGTCCAAAGCCCTAAAAAAGTTTTGAAGGTGAGAGTCAGAGATGCAAGTATGAACAGAGGATAGACCTAGGTCTTTTGCAGAGCATATGGGCCTGGGTGGGACATACTTGTATATTAGAACCCTATATCTTACCGGAGGGCATTGTAATGACTGACACAGACAGAAGGCATGGTAGGACAGGAAGATGAGCCTCTCTGCCACATTCATTATAGACTGTAGCGGGATGAGCTGAAAACACCTAAGACCAGTAAGAAGTGGATTCCAGTAGTCAAGGCAGCAGACTATAGCGGCATGGACAATCACCTCAGCCGCATCAGATGTTAGTTTGGGCTATGTTTTTCAGATGGAAGTGACAAGATTTGGGGACTGACTGAGTGTGAGAGTTGAAGGAGAACTTGGAAACAAGGAGAACACCAAAGTGGCAAGTTTGTGAGGTAGAGTCGATAGTAGTGCCATTGAATTAAAAGGAGTTAGAGTTGTAGTGTTGAAAGGAGAAAAGATGAAAAGTTCTGTTTTGGAGAGATTGAGTATAAAGAGGTGAGATGCCATCCAGTTAGGAATACCACAGAGGCAGAGACACAATTCAAGAGAGACAGAGAAAGATTTGGAGAACACAGATAGATTTGCGCATCATCAGCATAAAAATATTATCGAAAGCCAAATGAACTGATTGGTTTACCATAGGAGTCAATATAGCCTGTCAGCAGTAAGAGTTCAAGGACAGAACCTTGAGGAACACCAACAGAGAGAAGTTGCTGAGGAGAGGAAGAACTAGAATAGGACTTACTGGAAGAGCACTCAGAGAAGTAAGAAGAGAACCAGGAAAGAGCATGGTCTCAAATTTGATGATCAACAGTATCAAAAGCAGCAGAGAGGTCAGGGAGAATTAGAAGGGAGTAGTGACCACTACATTTTGCAGAAATGAGTCATTGGATACTTTGATCAGGACTGTTTTGACAGAGTGACAAGTGCAAAATCCACACTGAAACATGTCAAGCAGACATATGATTCACGTAAATTGGTTAGTCTCTTGTACACAATTCTCTTAACAATCTTGGTGACAGACAATAGTAGGGTGATAGGGCAGTAGTCGGGTGGTATGTTTGTGTCAATATTGGGAATTTTTTAGAATCAGGATTATGATTTCATGCTTGATGAATGCTGGAAATAAACATGAGCAGAAGGAGAGAATAAATATTTTATTAAGCGGCAGAGCAAGCAAAATGTACACTGTGCAAATAATATGTAAAGGAATAGGATCGAGGGAACATGTGGGGAGCGTGAGGAGCAAAACAGACCATAAACCTCTTCTTGTGTAACATGTGTGAATGAGCAAACGATAGAGGAGGGAGTGGGGCTATGGGAAATGAATATTTCTAAAATAAAGCATTATTCTTTAGTGAACCAAGCCTTAGAACCTGGAAATATAGATTTTCTTTTTACAATTTAAAAAGCAAAATATTCCATTCAGGGCATGCTATTTCGTTTCAAAGACAGGTGATTGGAAATAGATTATTTTTTGCAATGCTATTATAAACACAATTTATTTTGCATTGTCTCTTTTTGAAAATCAATATAAATATACAAGTCCTATATGATATATTGTTATAAATTGCAATTTCACATGGAATTATCAAACACAGACTAACTCCCCTGCAGTTTTGAATAGTGAAAAGTGTTTGAAATATTCATCACATTGTAAAATCTGTCTATTATACTAGTTTTGAACAAATTCCACATTCATGTCCATTGTACAGTCCTTCATTTTTAAAACAGTGATGGAGAGCAGAAATGTGCGTTGCTGAAGATAATAGTAATGTTTTTAAGGGGAGATAATAGTTCTTAGAATTTAAGGAGCACTTTAAGATATAAAAAATATTTATTTATTTTTTTGAATAAAGGGAAATGGAAAAAGGGGAAAGGAGAAGGAAATAATGAATATTACTGTGAGATATAAAAGTTCTCCTGTTAACAATGAACAATCTTTTTGCCTTCCTCTACTGCCAAAATTTTGTTGAATAATATAATCTAAATAATTCTAATTACTCTAACTTTGACTTTCTAATTCTAACATCTAATTATAACTCTAATTTCTATAAATGTTAATAAACATGAAGGATAGGGTTGACGTTCTAATTCTGAAATATATTCTTCCTTATCGTTATAAGAAATATGTAACGTTGCGTTAAGATTTATAATAAGTCTAATACAAGTTCTCATTTGGGAAACTAAGAGGATTTTTTATTCAACCTCAGTCTTCTCTGTCTCCTGTATTATAAATATAGAATTGTCATGATACCCCATTTCAGAACCTCATTGCTAACGGGATATTTATGTATGGCATATGGGAGGTTAGATCCCTCCCACACCCCATATGGGATTTGTGTACTGTATTTGTGGTCCTAAGTCATGGACCTAATGTGTTTATGGGTATGTTTAATGTTTTTATTGTCACTGTGAGCGTACGTGATGAATGTAGCCACGAAAAAATAGAAAGGGAAGTGTTGGATGGAGGGGCTGGTTAAGATAATGACATTAAATGTGCAGGGTTTTAATTCCCCTCATAAACAAGCTATGTTTAATTAAAATCTATATAGGGAGCATGTGGATATCTGTTGTATTCAAGAAACCCACATGAAGGGCAATGACATACTCCGACTTAATAATAAACAATATGCTGTTTTAGAATATTCCTCCCTAAGAAGGGAGAAGAAACGTGGCATAGCCATAATTTCCTCACATAATATAAACTTAGAGATTATGCATAAACAGAGTGACGAGCTGGGCAAATTCTCTTTTGCCATTTGCAAGAGTGACGACATAATATACTCTGTATTAAATACAAATACAAAGCAATTAAAAAATGTTAATAAAATTTTACAAACAATGTGTGTCCTTTTCAAAGAACATTTATATGCTGCAGTGATTTTAGTTGTATTGCAGATTATAATATGGATAAGCATAACTTAAGTAACACTGGGAAGAGTAATAATCAGGTCAGCCTTGCAAAAGCTTTTCAGGACACACTGGGTCGATATGAACTATACGATATATGGAGAACTATTAGACCAATGGATAAGGAATATACTTTTTTCTCAAACAGACAGCAATCTTTTTCAAGAATTGATATGATCTTACCAAAAGCGGTATCAAACATAGACTGTAAGACAATTTAAATAAAAAATGTGGTATGGTCAGAGCACGACTCAGTGTATCTGGAAATTAAAGGAAAATACAATAGAGGATAACGAACATGGCTTATGAATGGAAATCCTCTGAAATCTAGGGATAATATTAAGGAAATCAAAACAACCAATAAGCAATTTTTTGAGGAAAATTTTGCAGGAGATGTAATTCTTGCTAATGTATGAGCTACATACAAATGTGTATTAAGTGGATACTAGACATGTGCAATTAGTTTTGGTCCGAATTCGAATTCGGACGAATTTCAGGCAATTCAGACATTCAGGTACTTCCGAATGTCCGAATAGCTGAATTGCCGAAGTGCCGAATTCCTGAAGTCCCAAAGTTCTGAAATTGCTGAATTTCCAAAGTGCCGAAGTTCCGAAGTGCCGAAGTTCCGAAGTGCCAAAGTTCTGAAGCACAGTACTGCTTAAGTACTAATATACTTACCCAGTGGAAGAATGAAGAATGTTACACTGTATCCAATTTTAAATAAAAAGTATACAAACATAGCCAGGATTCAGCTGTAAGCATTTGCAACACTTACAACAATCAAGTAACATACATTCATATAAAATGTAAGTTACTTAGCCTGTCAATGTAATGACAGGAATGAATAAGTAGATAACTCCCTAATTCTCACGGTATTAGGGAGCTATCTACTAAAAGGCTGAAAGGCCTCACTGGAAAAAAAAACTAAATAAAAATATATACCCCCCCCTGCCCCCACCCCTGAACGGCGAGTGGGGGCCCTAAAGAAGAATAAGGAGGGGCACCTATTGTCCTCCCCCTGGCCCCCACCCATGAGTGGCAGGTGGGGGCCCTAAAGAAGAATTAGGGGGGACCTATTGTCCTCCCCCCGTCCCCCACCTCTGAGCGGCGGGTGGGGGCCCTAATGAAGAATAAAGGGGTGACCTATTGTACTCCCCTCCAGGCCCCACTCATGAGCGGCGGATGGGGGCCCTGAGTTAGAATAAGGGGGGACTTATTTTCCTCCCCCCCGGTCACCCCCTCCCCCAAAAAATAACCCCTACCTACCCCCCTCATCCTGAAAATAATTAGGGGGGACCCTTATCTAAATACCTGTAAAAAAAAATAATAAAACTTACCATTTGATGTCTTCTTTCTTCTAAACTCTTCTTTTTTCAGCCCCCAAAAAAGGCCAAATAAAAATCCATAATAACCGATGCACTTAAAAAAAATAAAATAAAAAAGAGTGCAAAAAAATAATCCATCTTCACCCATAGAGGGCTCCGCGCAGACTGAGATCTGCAGGGCGGGGGAAAGCTGTGTAATTTGACTCATAACTCTCTGCTTAGTGGATTGAAAGTAACCAATCAGAGTGTTGTTATGAGTCAAATTACACAGCGTGGGAAAATTCCAAAGAACTTTCCCACGCTGTGTAAAGTGACACAGAGCACTATGATTGGTGGATTTCAAGCTAACCAATCAGAGTGCTGTGACAGGTAAAAAAGTCTCTACTTACCTGTCAGTCTCTTCATTTACCTGTCAGAGCACTCTGATTGGATGGCTTAAACCGACCAATCAGAGTGCTCTGAGCCTAATTGCAGGGCAGGGCAAGGCTTTATAAGCCTTCCCCCGCCCTACGGAGCTCAGTCTGCGCGGAGCCCTCCATAGGTGAAGGATTTTTTTTTTTTTTGCTCGTTTTTTTTTTTTTTTTAAAGTGCGTCGGTTATTATGGATTTTTATTTGGCCTTTTTTGGGGCTGAAAAAAGAAGAGTTTAGAAGAAAGAAGACATCAAATGGTAAGTTTATATATTTTTTTTACAGGTATTTAGATAAGGGTCCCCCCTCATTATTTTTAGGATGAGTGGGGTAGGCAGGGGTTATCTTTTTGGGAAGGAGGGTGACTAGGGGTTTGGGGGCCCCTAGTCACCGGGGGGATACATTTCTATTTAGGGCCCCCACCCTCTGCTCAGGGGTGGGGGCCTGGGAAGAGGACAATAGGTCCCCCCCTTATTCTAATTTAGGGCCCCCACCCACCGCTGAGGTGCGGGGGCTGGGGTTAGGACAATAGGACGCCCCTTATTCTAATTTAGGGCCCCCATCCACCGCTCAGGGTTGGGGGCCGGGTGGAGGAAAATAGGTCCCCACTTATTGACATTTAGGGCCCCCACCCGCCGCCCGGGGTGGGGGCCGGGGGGAGGACAATAGGTCCCCCCCCTTATTGGTATTTAGGGCCTCCACCCTCTGTTCAGGGATGGGGGGCCAGGGGTTAAATGTTTTTTTCAGGTTGTTTTTTTTTTTTACAGTGAGCAGCCATAGGCAGTATAGCGAGTAGGGGCAAAATTTACTAATACTAAGTAATTTTTACTTAGTATTAGTAAATTTGGCTGAAAGACCAATTTAGATTTTTCAGCCTTTTGGTAGATAGCTCCCTAATACCATGGGAATTAGGGAGTTCTCTACTTAGCGACTGCAATAAAAGTCCCGAAGTGCCGAAGTCCCAAAATTCCGAAATGCCGAAGTTCCGAAGTGCCAAAGTTCCGAAGTGTCAAAGTGCCGTAGTGCTGAACCGAACCGAATGGCCGAAGTCCCGAATCTCGGAATGCCGAACCAAACCAAAATTTTTCCCCATGCACATACCTAAAGGATACTTAATTAAGAAAGAAGGTTTTTTAAAGAAAAATATATGAACAAACTATCAGATCTCTACATAATTCCAATCAACTTTTAAAAAAAGTAGTAGCATTACAGAGGTACAGGATGTAATAGAAATGAATATAGTTAAGAAGGAAATTGAAGAACAACTAATTATAAAAGCAAATAATAACATACAAAAATTGTATTACTTAGGTAACAGAGCAGACTAGATGATGACCAACCAACTAAAAACATAATCTGAAGAACTGAATATTTAAAATATTTGAGAAGGATAGACATTATAATAGCCCAGAAGAAATTGTGAATGTGCTCAAAATATTGAGAATCAGCTAAAAAGATATGGAACAAATAAAACAATATCTAGAAGAAACTAAATGTAAAAAATTGTCTAGAGAACAAGCTAATTGTTTGTAAGCCCCTATTCATAACTTAGAAGTCATCAAGGCAATTGCAATTGCAAAAGGCACCAGGTCTTGATGGTTTCCTAGCAGTGTTTTATAAAAAACCTGTGGACATTCTGTAACCATATATGATGGATACTTTTATTGAAGTCAGAGATTTTGGATCTTTTCCAAACAAAATGATGCAGGCTTTTATCTTAACTATACCAAAGGAAGGGTAAGACCCTACAAAATGTCCTAACTATAGATTTATATCACTGATTAATAGAGATACGAAAGTATATTTTGGCCATATTGGCGGAACGCTTAAAGGACCACTATAGGCACCTAGACCACTTCAGCTTAATGAAGTGGTCGGGGTGCCAGGTCCAGCTAGGTTTAACCTTTTTTTCTATAAACATAACAGTTTCAGAGAAACTGCTATGTTTATAATAGGGTTAATCCAGCTTCTAGTGGCTGTCTCATTGACAGCCGCTAGAGGCGCTTCCGTGCTTCTCACTGTGATTTTCACAGTGAGAAGACGCCAGCGTCCATAGGAAAGCATTGTGAATGCTTTCCTATGGACTGGCTGAATGCGCGCGGCTCGTCCCGCGCATTCGCATTCAGCAGAGGAGGAGGAGAGTCCCCCGCCCGGCACTGGAGAAAGAGGTAATTTTAACCCCTTCCACTCCCTAGAGCCTGGCGGGAGGGGGGCCTGAGGGTGGGGGCAACCTCATGGCACTATAGTGCCATGAAAATGAGTATGTTTTCCTGGGACTATAGTGGTCCTTTAAAGAAGATTTGTCCAATATTAATACAAAAGGACCAGCCCGGATTTGTTAGCGAAAGACAATCAAATGATACTACCAGGAAAATCATTTGTTTAATAGAATATGTATGTTCTAACAAAATACTATCGATATTTATTTTTTTAGATGCCGAAAAGACATTTGACAAAGTCAGTTGGGCCTTTTTTAGAAGTACTTCTAAATTTTGGATTTGGAGAGGTATGTACTGGCTCTGTCAGGGCCTTATACACCAATCCAACTGCGAGACTTATTGGTCAAGGGTTGAGATCAGAATCGTTTAATAAATATAATGGCACCCGACAGGGTTGCCCCCTTGCTCCAATGCTTTCTATTTTAACATTAGAGCCCTTTGCAGCAAGGATAAGGAATAATATACATATTAAAGGTATTAAGATCAGGGATTTAGAATATAAACTCAGCATGTATGCCGATGATATTATGTTGTCTCTTTACGATCCTGAGAAATCTCTGGCTTCATTACTATATGAAATTCAGGAATATGGCCGCCTTTCTAACTATAAAATAAATATGAATAAATCCTAAATATTTGATTTTTTTAATATCTGATCTAGATAAAGTCATTATGAGGGCAATATTTGAATTCCAATGGGGTATGGAGGAGATCACATATTTGGGGATTAATATTCCAAAGAATATACAATCAATAGTCAAAGTGAATTACTCAACTCTTTTTGATGAAATGAATAGACAACTGGGGGGAGTGGAAAGGGCTGTTTATTTCATGGATGGGAAGGATAAACGTGATTAGATCATATATAATTCCAAAATGGTTGTATTTATTATGAATGATTCCACTGAAGTTGCCTTTATGCTGGATTAAAGCATTTCAGGTAAAGGTTAACACATTTATATGGAACAATAAGAAACCCAGAGTATCAAAAAACTCATTTGCTCTAGCTACAGAAAGGGGGGACTAAATATGCCTAGCCTAGAACGATATGCAGAAGCGAGTATGTTGTGCCACTTATCTAAGCTTCAATGTGAAATAAGTAAGGACACAATTTGGTTTTATATAGAACAAGAACTTGCAGGGGTGACTAACTTGGAATGTGCCATATGGATCCATCTTGAAAAATTGAATAAACAACAATGGTCAATGGTGACTAAAAATTGTATGCAGTTTTGGATTAAATTTAAAAACCGTATAGGTATGAAAGATAATATTCTGCCCTCTGCTCCTCTGGATATTCTTAAGGACAATATTCCACATTTGAATTTCAGTAATTGGGCAAATTTTACATCTTATAAAATAAGCAATTTTATGTCTGAGGAGAGTATTAAAACCCTGATACAGATCCTTAACAAATATGCATTTAAAGTCTGAATATTTTAATTCATTTACAATGTCATTATTTAAAAAGGCACATTTATAATTACAAAAGTAATAAACCCAATCATAATAGTCTAGCTATTTTGAATAATGCTGTTGTGAAAAAAAATGGCTAGATGGTATAGATTTCTATAAGATTTGGATAAAACACATAGCCTAAATCCTTATGAGAGTTGGCAAAGAGAATTGCAAGTTCACCTAAATATAGAAGAATGGATAAATAGTCTGGTCGGGGTCTATAAGATCATTTACTGTTTAAATATGGTTGAATTACATTATAAGATCATGATGTGCTGGTATTTAGTCCCAGTAAGATTGGCAAAGTTTAATGGGGGGATGAATCCAACATGTTGGAGATGTAATGAAGCAGTAGGAACTTACCAACATATATGGCGGAGTTGCAACAAAATCAAACAAGTATGGAGTGACAATTTTGGTATTCTCTCCAATATTACTAACACCATAATTCCACTATCTATTCAAAGAGCCCTTTTTTCATATGGAATTAGAAATGCTGTCAAGAAATGATAGAGCTTTATTTATACAGGGACTACTAGCAGTAAAGATTGTTATAGCTAGAAAATGGTGGCAAAATTATACAATAAAGATAGATAACGTAATTAACGAGATGAAAAATCAAGCCCAAATGGAAAGAGGATACTTCGCTGCACAATCTAATCAATTTGATACTTGCCCTAACACTATTACTTCATCCTTAATTATACGAAAGGAACTAAAGTCGGCCCGCTCATCACATCACGCTCACATGTTTGTTTGTTAATTTAGTATGTTTAGTTTTTTTGGTTAATGTAGTCTTCTGTGCGAGACATGTGTTACATAGATATGCTGGTATATATGCATTAGCTTAAGTATTAGTAACTATTGATACAAAGGATTTCCATTGAGGGATTTATATATATATTTGACCTAATCTTGGCTGTAATAGATATAAAAATGTCATTGCATAAGTGATACATGCCTCTGTTTTAAAATTTAAATAAAGAAACATTATTTATTTTTTTTAAATACACCTCTGCATCAATGGCCAACACTACACACAAATTCAAATGCCAACACTACATGCAAACACACCACTAAATTCACTCTCACATACTCCATACAAAAACATACTTACATTCAAGCACACAAACACTGCTCAGTACTACATACAACTCTGCAAGGATGTGCAAATGATGGATCCCCAGCTGGCAAAGTATTGTGTTAGTTGTATGACGACGGGAATCTACCTTTTGTTGACACTTGCGATAGAGGAGACACAAAAAATAATTCTTGCACCATGTCCCTCTCTACATTAGTTCTGCCACTGGGGTAGACAAACTGCAGCACTCCATCTCCCCTGATGCTTTGTCAGCATTACAGCTGTAAGAACATTAGGGGAGATGTAGTCCACAACATCTATAATGCCAAAGCTTGCATACCCATAATTCATGGCTACATACTGAAATTCAACACAAGTAACTGGAAAATTTCAACAGAACATATTTGAAAAATAGCTTTTGGTAATGTTATATCACAATGCTGCATGCGTCTTTATGTTATCAGCTTGCATATATCAGCAGTGTATGGATGTGGATGCTAATACAATTACATCATATTCAGAATACATAAGTAGCATAACTACAAGATACTGGTGTCAAAAATATTTCAGCAATTAACGATACCAATACCAATTGGCAATACCTACTGGTAAAGCTCCGGAACCTGATAGTTTTACTATGATATATCATAGGTCTTTCTTTGGTATATTGACACCATACTTAACTAGATTATTTAATAAATATTAAACTACAGGTGTAATGCCAGAGGAGGCTTTATATGCACAAATAATAGCACTACCCAAACCTGGTAAAAATCCTACAACTTGTCAAAATTAAGATATGTGTATAAACAAAAAGACTACCCAAGTGCAGCGATATATTAGGGATAAAGATTAATTACTGCCCTTTAAATCTAGGCTGTAACAAAGGATTCCTCAAATCCTCACAAACAGATACACAAAACAAGATACACCTAGAAAAAACAAAAGCAGAGAACGCTCATAGGGAAACACCGCTTAGTAGAGATGTTCCTGCTGTAAATATTGCACTCACAGAATAAAGGAGTAGTTCAAGCCCATCAATGTATCTTTAGATCTTGCAATGAAATTCTTCAAGGGTACATGCAGAAGGAAGAAGAACTGGACATAGTGTGAAATCTTAATAATATAAAAAGCACACTTTAATTGACACACTTACAAAAAGTAGAAAATAAAAATGCTCATCAAAGGTGTGTGTTTCTCTCTCCAAGATGGTGAATGGAAGGAGTAGGTTACAGAAATTGTAGGCAGCTCAAAAAAAATAAATGTATGTACATTTATCTTTTTATTTCTACTTAATGCATGTTTATAATGTTTTTAACTTTTTAAAGTTTAATGAGAAAACAATAAAGTAAATTGAAATTACCTTTACTAGTGATTAATGAGATCCTTGAGGTTGATGCTGCAAGACTAAATATTTGATATCTGGTTCGATTTTCATAAGGAACAAACTAAGGTCTCCTCTTTCGGTAATATTCAGATGACTTCTCTGTTTACGCATAATATGATTTCTCATTTGTGCGTCAGCTCCCTTCCTCTCCCTCCTCAATTCCCCTCCCCACCTTTTTTTTCCCCTTTTTTAAAATTTTTTTTTTAACCTTCTGTAACCGATCACCTGGCACCCCAACTGGGTACCTCCGTTGAAGGATGCTCCTAGCGCTTCCTGAGGACTCCAAGCACTGCAGCAGACACCACAACCACCCAACCGGAGAAGCAAACGAATGCTCTCAAGCATATAAATGCTGTAAACAGCTGAACAGGAAAAGCATACAATCAGCTTACACTCCTGGCAATCAACATACAAAGACAAGACACACATACATACACACATATATACAGACAGACATACACACATATATATACAGACAGACACACGCGCACACACACAAGACACATACAAAGACACACATACATACAGACACATAAATACAGACAGACACACAAGACATACATACAAAGACACATACACACACAACACATACATACAAAGACAAGACACACATACATATACACACACATATATACAGACAGACACACACATATATACAGACAGACACACACACACACACACACAAGACACATACAAAGACACACACATACATACAAAGACACATACATAAGACACACATACATGCACACACATACAGACACATACATACAGACAGAAACACACAAGACATACATACAAAGACACATACACAAACACACACAAAATATTTTAGTCACCCTCCTGTTTCCTACATTTTAGGTGCAGGATGGTGACTTTCCCTGGGGTCCAGTGGTGGCTCAGGTGGATGGGAGTCAGAGTTCCTACTCTGACTCCCTCCTCCTTCCTCCCGTGTGGTCTGTGTGTTAGCTGGGAGGAGTGACGAGCAGTCACTTCCTCCCAGCATGTGATGTAATCAAAGGGGGCCGGTCGCACTGTTAAAGCGCCCAGCGCTGATCGGGCCCCCTCACAAACCACATCCATCGGGTGGCCCTGACAGCATGAGCCACCCGATGGACCCCTCCATACGCGGCCCCGGCGGTTTGCCGCGCGGGCCGGGGCTGCAAGAGGTGAGGGCGGTACCCGGTCGCAGGGTACCGTGGCTCACACCCGCCCTTCCGCCCACGCAATCTCTAAAATTAGAAAATCCCACATGGAATCCTGAAAACGCCCGCTAGTGGGTGGTAGGGACCAGATTGACGACCCATGCTCTAAACAATGGTCTACAGATCCTGCAGGCATACCATTTAATATCTTTACAAATATGGTTTTATCTAGTACTGCATTTATTATGTAGCATCAATTTATAACATTTTTTGGAAGAGTTCCTAACTAGTTTGTAGTTAGTGAAAAAAATATTGTTTTAATCTAATGTTTAAGCTCATATGCTAGAGTAACACATGTAAATTGATCTGCACCATTATTATTGTATATCGAATTTCAAAACATTTAGAAACTCTATCCCCTTTTTTTTCACTTCCACTATGTTCAAGGCACCAACAATGAAACTAGATATGTTGAGTATAATGTGATTGACATTTTAGAGCTGTCAAAAATACATCACATCATATATACTAATATATTTTTACATAATGGAATACATACTGTACTAATTAATATGCTGTTAAACAATATCCTGTTACTATTGATTTAACATGTATGCATGACATGAAGGAATAGAAAAGGCCACTGGCTGAAGACATGAACTTCTTCCTTGAAGGTTTTTTCGTGAGAGCTGCTATTTTTCTGAAAAGATCTCATTACTAATCATGGCTTAGAAAGCACAACCACAATTGTACAAATCCCTTCAGCCCATAAGACATCCAGTTGCAAAATGTGTCACTTAGAATCAAGCAAGTGGGATTTTTCAAAGTACATCTCAGACAGAACATTGTAAACTCAAAATTCAGCTGACAAAGTGTGTGTCACTTTGCACCTCTGCTGCTTTTGAATTTTATAGACTGATATGAGATTGCATGTCATGTATTACACAAAATTACTGACATTACAACTATGACAGCTCATATTTGCCTCCAAATAAAAAGACTGGGAATTTAGGGGAAATAGATCAGTTGTTAAACTTATATAATATATAATGATATACAGAAATTTCTATCATGGAAGAAAAACCTCTAACAAGCATTCACTGCTTCTGCAGTCAGACATACTCAGTTTTACATAAGTTAGACCAAGGGAATCCTGGTAGACTCACTATGCTCAATTTATGTGCAGACAATTGTCTCTCAATGTAGGAACCATCCAAAAAAATGCACATTCACTGGTCTCTCCACTGATTCTCTCCCGCAGAAGGCAGAGAATAAAAAGATCATATACTATATATTTTTTAGCATTTCAGCTGAGTTGGAACAACTTTCTTTGAAAAAAATATGTTTTTATCTATTGGTTTTTTCCATGTTTAGTGACACTTTAAGTGCTTTAAACTTGCTTAATATCATGTAGTGCAAGGGTAGGCAACCTTCGCCACTCCAGATGTTTTGGAGCATCACCTCCCATGATGCTTTGCCAGTATTATGGCTGTAACAGCATTATGAAGATATAGTCCACAACATTTGGAGTGCTGTAAGTTGCCTACCACTGGTCCAGTCTTATATAATGTAGGAAAATAGCAGCCTGCTCTCTGTTCTCCTGTAACTATAACACCACTAAGATGGAGGGAAATGGAGAGAGAAAGGAGGAAATGGAAAATTAAAATTAGGGAATGGAGAGAAACATGGGAAAAGGGGCACTGGAAAATCCACAAAGAGAAACATGGCTATACAGTTCTCTAAGAGTATTGTGACAAACTGGACCTTGTCACAGGCTCTTGGAGGGGCATACTTGCCAGCCTCTTACCCTGTGACTATAGCCCCTGTGATAAAACTTGGTTTAGATCACTGTGTGTGCCCTTTTGGACTTATGAAGCAGCAATTCGAATTCCCAAAGCAATTTGAAGTGGCACTTCAAATTACCGAACAACCGCATGAACCAGAGACCACCCTGGAGCTTGTTAACACCTATAAACAACTTGGAATGTTTCTCACCGCAGTGTTCTAATTGTTCATCTGGGTGGCCGCAATTCCCATGAACAACCACGAGGTTGCGGTCATCTTGCTTGCGTGAATGTAGGCAGCTGTGTTTGAATCTCCTGGAACTGAAATCGGATCCAGAAACTCCCGAACACCGCTGGACTTCCATCATCGCCTGCGTTTGTTTCTATATAAGTTTGAAGGGCACTGTTCGGTGGGATCATTTGTCTAGATCAAGGGAACAAGCCCCAGGTTAAGACTATTGACTCTGTTCAGTAGTTTGTTCGGTTTCAAACTATCGAACTAGACTGACCGGAAGCCGTGATTATCTGGAACTGTTTTGGGCATGGGACCATGCCTGCGGTCTGTCAAATACATGACTTCAATAGAATTCAAGAACCCCTGAACTGATCTGGGTGATTTATGGATATGCTGGTCACCCAGATCAGGGCTATCAATGTGGGGATGTTATGTGTTTTAAGGTATTTTGAGGGTTTTTTTTTAAAAAAATTGTGTTTTTTGTATTTGGAGATAATTGAGTTTAGTATATTGCTTGACTCAATTATCTCCTAAGTAAAAGGGAAGGCTTATTGTATTGTATGTATGAGTGCCTTAGATTGTAACTCTGTTATCATTGGTTTGTAAGTTTTGTGTCCCCAACAAGGTCCATGTGGGCATACCCCTTGCTTGGGGACTTGCATAAAAGGGCCAGTGTGGCACCATTAAAATTCAGTTCCTGCTTACTCTCAACACAGAGCCTCGTCTCGTGATTGAGGGAACCGCTATACGCTCTCCCTCTATGTATAAAATGATTTTTATATTTATCTCTTTCTCTGTGTATGATCAATTATATGGACGATATACTATATACATTTAAAGCACTTCCAGGTACCAGAGTGCAAGATGGAAGGCACATTGGAACACATAACAAGCAAAACAGGAAGTGAGATCACATTCAATCCAAAGAGAGGCTTGGAACACATGATCAACCAGAAAGAAGGAAATGAAAACTTTGAGCAACATCTGGAGGAGTTTTACAAGTAATCAACAAGGTATAAAACGAAGCATAGAGGACAATGGAGTCTTATCAACCGGACTGAGGAAGCCACAAAACAGCGAAATGCGTTTCTAGACTACTAATACTAGACTCTAATATACCATTAGGTATTTGACTGCATTTAAAAAAAAAATAATGTTTTTATATATTAATGTTAATATATAAACCATTTGGGATCATTACCCATCCATGACCACATAGAAGATAAAAAATGTTTAGCGATCAGACAAAAAAGACTTATAATGTGAAGTCATATACATATGACATATTCTCTAAAAAACATATTCTCTAAAAACTATTGATAATGCACTATAAGTGGAATATATAAGCATATAAGTGGTTGATTAAAAGATATTGTACATTAATGCATTTTAACCAATAGGTTATTATTTGAATATCAAACTTCATGATTTTATAAGCTTTCCAAATGATTCAATATAGTTACAAAATATTTCCAAATGATTTAGGTGCAAACATCTAAATCTTATTTGCAAAAAATGCCTGTATATCGTTGAGTTTGTATCTGTGCCTTATTATGTATTTTTGAGTACATAATGGTGTGTGTTTCTGTAGATAACTGTATCTTTATGGGGGGGGTTTGTTTCTGTATGTTTTGTTTTCTGTCTCTTTGCTTTTAAATATATATGGGTATTTGTCTGTATATGAGTATGTCTGTAATTTTTTGTAAATATTAACAATTCCATAAGTGTAATTGTATCAGCTTACATTCTGCTTTGTTTTTTTGCTTTTTGTTATGTTTTCTGTTTTTTTTTTGTAATTCATTTACCCCTTTTCCAGTGACTCACAGACACCACTACCTAGGGTTCAGCACAGATATTAGATCTTACTATTTTAACCACTCAACCAGGTTACACCAGGCACCAAGAATACACCAATTTGTTTCTTTCAAAACAGTGATTTTTATTCAGAATGAAGCCCATGGCACATGGTATAAAAACTGCAGACTCTCTTTGGTTGCAGTAGTAATTCCCAGCAAAATAAGTCACCGTAGTCCATTCATATACTAGCTACTCAATGCATATTTTATATTCCTCTATCAAAGCTTGCTTGTCCTCTGATAATCCATCTGCTGACAATAAGGTTGCCTCTGTACCCCAGTGAAAAACCTGAAAACAACTCAACCTGGCAATGATCATCTGATGACAATATGGCCTAACCTCTACTCTAGCACTGATGTCTATGTCTATATATATATGTAAAAAACAGATAAAATTCTTATCTTGTAATACCTTATTTATTGGACTAACAGAATTTTTTAATGACAAGCTTTCGGGGGAACCTCCCTTTCTCAAGTCTGAAGCATTTCTGAGCAAAACGACACATAGAATTCAAAGTTGAGTTGTGATACAGGGGTTAAAGCGACATGAGTGTAGATAAGACACAGGTTTGTTAGAAATTAGACACCATCTTAGGGAGGTTCTCCCGAAAGCTTGTCATTAAAAAATTCTGTTAGTCCAATAAATAAGGTATTACAAGATAAGAGTTTTATCTGTTTTTTACATCTACATCACTGGACTAATACGGCTACAATCTCTACTTGAACTCTATATATATATTTATATATATATATATATATATGTATATATATATATATATATATAAAACACAAGATCCAGTGCACTCACCTATCCACTAAACAGCAACTTCAATGTTGAATGATTTTATTAGTTTTTTTAAAAAACACCTAATCTAGGCAAAAATAATGGGGGTTTAGTTACATTATGTGATCATACATTGCATAAGCCTGCCACAACGTCAATGTACCCCATCTTTGGCAGGTCCTACACTAACAGCCTAATGTCTGCTCTTATGAGATTAACCACTTACTTGAGGAAAGAAAATTTATCTGGGGCTCTCTGCACTACAAGGCTAAATAGGGCCCTGGGATGAGGAACCTGTGACAGGGAGGGGTGCAAAACCAGGGAGTTGGCTAGACTCCCAAATATATATATATGAAGCAAGCAGAGATGGGGGGTTGGCTGCACTGACCTGAACTTGTTTCATATATATATATATATATATATATATATATATATTTTTTTTTTTAGAAATTATTGTAAATGTTTATCAAAATATAGTCTCTGTATTTGTCTCTGGGTATGAATATGCTTTGTGTGTTTATGTGTGAGTGTGTGTGTGTATATGTATCACTGTATAGCACTGTGTGTAGTATGTATCACTGCTATATAGTTGCATTAGCATGTCTGAATGGCTGTGTCTGTATATAAGTATACATGTTTCTGCATGAAAAAAATATATTTGTTTCAGGTACATAAAGTTTTGCTTCAGTCTCAGGCCTTTCTTAGTTCTGGAACTTAGCAGTACTGTATGTAATAGAGAGATAGGATGTGTTTTTTTTACATAATACTCCCTTGTGCCAGTTTATTTTTTTAATAAACACAGATTTAACATTACACTTTGAGTCATCATTTTCAATCTTATCCTTCTTGGAATAAGCTCCCTTCTCACATCCAAATAACTTATCTCATTTTGTTAATTTGCACTTGATATGTATGGCTTTTATTTAGATTAGTAAGTTATTATATATGTAACTTGTCATATAAGAAAAATGAATTGCTATTTTTTTGCCTCTTTTTTATTATTTTTACTTTGCTCATCTCAAAATGTTTCATGTCTTGATATAGATTTACATGCTTATTCACTAAATACAACAAAAAACGGCCATAACAATTAGGTGCTCTAAGGATTTCTAACACAAATAATAACATGTACATCTCATACATTTTTGTTCTTGGTTATTTCTTCCAGTAAATAATGGTTTTATTATTTTTAATGTGTTTATCAGCAACAGGCAAAATGCCAACTCCGACTCAGGATATTCAATCCACCTTTCAACAAAGTTTGCCTACTGGGCAAGATGAGTTAATATTGCTTCAAGAGAAGGTTAAGATGGGCATTCTAAGCATGGACGAAGCTCTTCACAAATTTCAGCTGTGGCAGAATGAAAAGACTAGCTTAGACCTTCTTCAAAAGGTACCTTAACCAGTTAATTACTATGCACCACTTCAACTTAGCAGAATAATTATGATTAAAGGAATACTCTATTATTAGCAATACAAACATATACTCTTAACGTGAGAGCGTAATACTAGCTAGATAGATTATTGCCCCAGAAGTCATAAAATAAAGCTATTTATTTACCTTTTTTCCTACAGCACACTATTTTAAAATTAAGATAAAAAATACAAGCGGATATACAATCATTTAGCAATTATTTGTAGATTCTATTAGGATGAGTTTTCTTCTTAAGAATTAATTGATACGGTACTTTTATTTTCACAACCTACAGTGATACAATATTTGGGTATATAAACTTAAGATGAATATTTGCCATCATTATTAGAATCCTACCAATAGTTACACAAGGCATGTAAGTAAATATACTTAATCCAATGTTTCTTTAAAACTTTAGAAGAAGATACGGCAGTTGCGTGACAGCATTATTGGTGACAAGCCAGAAGATGAAAAGCTTTATGGTAAGATATGCCAATAAAATTCAATTAACAATATTTGTAGAACACATAGTGGGGTAATAATATAAAAAAAAATGCATTAAGCCATTTTAACTAAGGTAAAACTAAAGCATTGAGATACTCTGTTATATGCAATCACTGACCAAGACTTTAGAATATCTAAGAACATTAGTCAAAGGTCACAGCAGATAAGAATTTAAAGCTTGACAAGAACTAAAGTAGTTTGTTTCTTCAAAATGGGCTTAGCACAGTTTCCCACTCACCTCACAGACAATTTTAGGAAGTACAATAAATAAATAATGAAACAACAGATATAACTATCTAAAACACAAGTTGGAGTACTTAAAAAGTGATTCTAATTACTCTTACAACCAAAAGTAATTGGGGTGGTATACACAATCCAGTATGTACATAAGAAGTAGTAAAAAAAAAAATCATACTTTTCTGCTGACTTTAAAAATTCCTGACTGTTTTGTACCATACTAAGGCATGAACTAAAACTAGGCCTATCAAGTTGGCCTCCAATTTCAAAACCATATTATCTTCAGCTTTCTTATAATTCCAATTTAACTATATAAATTTCACATAAATGTATTTCCTGTTTCCTGTTTCCATGTTGTAAATCAAGATGTCCAGCTTACACTTTCCACTTGTAAATTTATCAGTACTATTATTCAATACCGTGACATGAACTACAACCTTGATACAGCACTCTAGTACATTATAAAAGTGCTTGAAATTAATCACACAAAGAAAAAAAAATATTTTAGAATGTCCATTGGATTTAATATTATGGAAGAAAAAATATTCCAGTTGTAGAAGCTGAGTTTCCGCCCACATAATGCAAATTAGCCAAGAGAATAAAAATGGCTTTTAGTGCAATGTTCTCTTTCAAAATAGTTCCAAAGGTAGTTCATTCCTCTATAAATGTTACAGATAAAAAAGCATTTAACATTCGTATATGTAAAATGAAAAATATAATCTAAATGACATAGATGTGACAAACTATTTTGTTTTTTTATTAACAGACAAAATTACTATTGTTCATCAACCAAATGGTGAGTATCTTACATCTATTGCATACGATAAGATGAAATAAGCTAGTGAATATCCTTAATAACAATAGCATTTGGTAAAGAAATTTTCATAAAGCACACAAAAATGACTTTGTCCTAGATTTAGCTAGCTCAAATCATAGCCATTTCTATCATGGTGTAATGGTGAGCTTGAGAATTTTACAACATTTACTAAACGTACAGTAAGTTTTAACTCATATCCAAAAACTAAACTTGTACTGAGTTCATAAATTCATGTGTTGGCTATCAATTTAAGCAAAACAGAACAAGTGATAAGAAATCATATCCGTCAACTCTTTAATTAATCTACTCTTTTTTTTTTCTTAATTTTTAATTTTAATTAGGAAAACATTTGCCTGTATTACAGACACTAAATAATCATTTTCTTGCTGCTTGTGTTTATATTAATGACCCTATCTTGAAATATTGTGTTATGGATTTTCCTTCAACGTTTTATTGACACAACAAGGTTCATCCCATCCAAAAAGCTGACTAATTAACTGCTTCGAACGATAAATCAAGGTTGCCATTGACACATTTCTGTTTTTAATCTGGAGAAGGAAGCTGTAGGAAGGCACGGAGGGATTTCCACAGGTCTTCTTGTCATGCTTATAGATGGATAAAAAGATACATAATACACTTAATGAATGATATCTAATCCATATTGATTTATGGGGAACTTTGTAAACTGGCTGAGTCAGAATATGTGGAAATCTCCTATTCACAGACAATAGATGGATCTGTCCATGTGACATCTTACCCCATCTATTGTGCTTTATGTGCAGTTTCTCAATGCTTTATGCAGGTGCCACATTTGCATAGTAATAATGTTCCAGTAAAATGCAGCTGTAACAACATGGTTCATGGAAGCCATGTTACTGGCAATCGCAAAGATGCATTACGATGGTTAATAAATATTCTTTATGATTTTCCATTCAGTACATGTTTGTCTGCATGAACTTCTCCAACAGTTTTACCATTTTAACGGTAATGCTTAATGGCCCCTGGAAATGACCCCTGCATGATAGACTGTGCAAAGGCAGGCTCTCATTATTATTAGCATTTATATAGTGCCAAGATATTCCCCAGTGCTTTACAATTATAGAATGAGGATATTTCACAACAAGTAATTGACATACAAAATAATATTAACAGAGACAAGACGTGAAGAAGGCTCTGATCAAACAGGCTTACAATCAATGTGCCTAAAATGTGTTATTAGGCTTATAACTCTGATCAAAACATCCAGCTTTTTTATTTTGTTTAGTTTACTATTCTTATATAGTTTTCTTATCCAGATAAAATTTACATAGATTAGCAAATTATACAATGATTAATATTAACATTTTGAGACAGCTGTTGAGTTTTGTCGCAGTCATTATAATGTAAAGAACAATCACAGTAAATTATTGAGCATACAAATAATAACAAAGTTACATATAACTAATTATAGAACAGCAACGTTCCATTGAATTATGGTTTCTATCTCTCCTCAATAAAACTGATGGAGTTTCAGTTGGAGAGGTAGTATTTAGGGTGCGGTTTACACTGGTGGAGAGAGAGAAATATTCAGAAGGGTACTTTTTTAATTGATTATTACATTTAAAATAAAGGGACATGCATAACTTGCCAAGTATTTTTTTATACCAGCAAGCAAACACTTTTAACCCCTTAAGGACTGGACTGTTTTTGCGATGTTGTACATTTGCGACCAGGCCTCTTTTTACACTTTTGTGGTGTTTGTGTTTAGCTGTAATTTTCTGCTCTCTCATTTACTGTTCCCATGCAAATTATGTATTGGTTTTTTTTCAGGACAAAAGGGACTTTCTTTACATACCATTATTTATATAATCTCATGTAATTTAATTAAAAAAAAAATGTTTTTTGACTTTTACTTGAAAAATCTTTTACTCATCTATAACAAAAGCGAATGAAAAAAACTGCTAAATAGATTCAAAATTGTGTCCTGAGTTTAAAAATACCCAGTGTTTACATGCATTTTGCTTTTATTTTGCAAGTTATAGGGCTATAGGTACAAGTAGGATATTGCGGTTTCAAAACATACATTTTTAAAATTATCAATAGTCACATTGTAACACTATTATCTGTCATAAATCTCTGAATAACACCCCACATGTACATATTTTTTTTAAAGTAGACAACCCAGGGTATTCAATATGGGGTATATCCAGTCTTTTTTAGTAGCCACTTAGTCGAAAACACTGGCCCAAGTTAACATTCATATTTGCTTGTGTGTAAAAAAAAGTAAAAAACTAAATTGAATGCTAATTTTGGCCAGTGTTTGTGACTAAGTGGCTACTAAAAAAGACTGGACATACCCCATTTGCAACACTTTGGGTTGTCTTTTTTTGCAAATGGTATGCCATCATGGGGGTAATTCTCATCCCTGGGCTACCATACACTCTCAAAGGCATCGTAACCAACCTGGCCTTTTTCAATGTAAAAATATTTGACCCATTTATTTGACCTTGTAACTTTCAAAAACGCTATAAAACCTGTAGATGGGCTGTACTGTTATACTCGGGAGACTTTGCTGAACACAAATATTAGTGTTTCAAAACAGGAAAATGAATCACAACAATTATATCATCAGTAAAAGTGCTGTTTGTGTGTGAAAAATGCAAACAAAAGTCACTTTCACTGACAATATCATCGCTGTGATATGTTTTACTGTTTTGAATCACTAATGTTTATGTTCAGTGAAGTCTCCCGAGTAAATTAATACCCCCCATGTACAGGTTTTAGGGTGTCATAGAAAGTTACAGGGTAAAATATAGTGCTAGCAAATTAAATTCTTTGGACTTTCGGCCTGGGTTGGCAGGCCGGTCCCTCAAATTGCAATCAATAAAATTACTTAATTATGTAAAAATATTACATAAATACGCAAGTAGAATTTAAATATATATGCATATTTATATATTTGAAGTCTACGTGTATATTTATATAATTATTTATGTAATTTTGTAAATGGACATATGTATATTTTGAATTATTTTGATTTATTTATATATACATAGATATATATACAATTTCATTCTAAGTGTATTTTTATATAAATATATATATATATTACTATCAAAATACAGTTAGAATAACATTTCATATAGATATGTATATTTTTTAAAATTTTTATTGTTATTTTTACATGTTTTTATTTCATTTAAATTACTTATTATTTGTATTTTATAATAATATTTATATACAATATATATAGTTATTATATATATTATATATATATACGTGTGTAATTTAATTATAAATGTATTTTTATATTAAAATATGTACATATAAATATAAAAATACACTTAGTATGACATTATATATATGATATATAGACATATATAAATATAATATATGTCTATATATCATATATATATACACATATATAATTTTTTTTTAAATTAACTTTAACTTCAGTTTTTTTTATGATTTGTGACTATTGTTGAACGATCACATGGCCCCAGGGGTCCTAATCCGCCATAGGGGGACTGTCTGGGCTGCAGGCAGTCTCCCCACAACGGGAGCAACACCGATCGCCGTCAGGGGAACGACGGTGATCGGGTAAGTACATTGGACCGTTAGGACGGTTCAGGACCATCACCGATTGGCAACGCAAAAATGCCGATAACGGTCCTGAACCTTCGACGGTCCTGAAGGGGTTAAACAAATATACAAACCAAAATAAAGCAAACAAAATTTAATAAACATCTATACACTTACTATAAACTTGGTCAGATTGCATTACTAGGCACAGCTCTCAGCTAGGGAAGTTTCTTCAGGCTCTTACCAATCTCAGTTACAGACCAGTCCACTAATGAGAGAAACATGACATCATTTTTCAACAGCAGGAGAGAGAAACCCAACACTGAAACCTAGTTTGCATGATCACATTGATCAGACTTTCTTTAAAATTTCCTTTTAATGCATTTGCACTGTGAGGAAAAAAAATATATAATTTGAGCGAAAGTATAGCAGAAACATATACCTGCACATTTCGCACTTTAAAGGACTTCTAGGCCACCTTTCTAGATGCCCAAATAAAATTTCTTTTAAAAACTGTTATAGTAATATATCAAGCAAATTAGTACTACATCTATGCCTTATTAATTGAAAGATGTGGTACGTTAAATATTCTGTATATTTGTTACGGTGGCATTTTGCACATATTTAATATGTGCTGTGCAAAAATACACAACAAGCACAGTTTTCTATTTACTAAATAAATCCCAAAGTTTTAGCTAGGCAAAATTCAGTCTGTATACCAACATCTTTAATAGGAACACTCCAAGCACTACAACCACGACAGTGGTTATAGTGCCAGTAATCCCCATGGTGCCATCCCTTCTTAATCTGTCAAACTATTTTGTCCATGATGCGAACTCCTCATTGGCTGAGGGCAATCAGCTGACATGTCCCGCCAATTGGGAACCTGCGCTAAAATATTGTGAAAGAGTATACTGGTACAACACCAGGGCACCTCTGGCACTATAACTGCTACAATGGGTTGCACTGGTTGTGTTGTTTGGAGTATTCCAAATTATCTTATTGTATGTAAAAAAAATAATAATAAATATGTGATATGTAATATCACAAGTGTTTTGCTGTTTTTTTTTTCAGTGCTGCCTGCAACACAAAGAATGCAGTCTAAGGACTTAGATAATAGCATATACCAAAGACCCTTCAACCCTGCAGTAAGTGATTTATTACATTAAATATATATATATTTCGGCACTAATTGTTGGTCAGATTACTCACAGGGAATAAATACTTGAGAAAGTGTATAGTTATTAGTCCAGATTGGTATGGTTTTATTTCAGATGCACATCTTACATAACACATTTGTTGGAACATTTTAGCAATTATGTGTCGTTTAGGGACAGCAAGTAATAATAAAGAGGAAGTGAAAGGATGATAAGTGACAGTGATGATTCATTTACAATGTTACCCATCTCCTTGGGATTTAAACAAAAGGCAGTCAGTTGTGGCGAGCTGACATCTGAGATGCGAAATATAGGCCAGACAAGTTTGAAAAAAACTCAACACCACTTAATTATCTTGTTACTATCCCTTTGTAAAATTTGTCTGTAATGCTGTACATTTGAAATAAATACTATAATAGGATTTTACCCATCTCTTAAGTGAATAAAAATTAACTTACATTTATCAGTACCAGTTTTTTCAATCTAGCTTTAAAAATAAAAAACAGACATAATGAAGAAGTCCACCCATGCAGTTGTCCTGATTAGATGCTAAGATCAATACTCGTCAGTTGTCTTCTTTGTGGAACAAGTACTATAGGCAAAATGTGTGCATAGAACAAATATCTGATTTTTTTTCTTTAACTATAATGTCTAGCACATTATCCAGTTTTATATGTGCAAAATGTTAAATAACAACATGGGAAAAGCAAAGCGGAGTTCGAGAAAAAAAAAAAGAGGCAGGGAACCAACTGTTACAGAACAGTATACATAGGGACAGTTAATCCACGCCTCCAAGCCCTCTGGGCTCTCATATCCTAGCATTCAGTGACTTCTCTATGGCAGAATCGTAGGTGTATCACAATTAGCACCACTCATGCACCTACATTCCCCAATGCTTCTCCTTGAGGAGCATTGACTTAAACCATCAAACTAGAGGCAGGCCACCAGGATGACATCAGACGACAAAGAGCCACAGCAGCACCAATGGACACTCGGTGATGGAGAGAAGGTGAGGAATATATTTATTTTCGATTTAGTTAATTTTGAATTTGGGGTGGAGTGGGAATAACTAAGGACATTAAGACTGTAGCGTTATGAAAACAAACAGATATATATTACCAGAGGCGGCTCTCTAATTAGGCTGTTTAGGCGGACCTGACACTGACACCAGGAGGGGGCCCGGTGGCTTGCCCGGTATGCCGCCGGGTGCGAAGCCCCTCCTGGCTGCCTGGCCAGCCACCGCAGACACAGGTCTGCAGCTCTGCAGTAAACAGAGCTGCAGACCATGTGTCTCGCGAAAACCGGCCAATCAGAGCGTTGCCGCGGGTTACCACGGCAACGCTCTGATGGTCTCGAGAGATTACATGGTCTGCAGCTCTGCGGAGCTGCAGACCGGAAGCAGTGGCCACCGGACCACCAGGGAGCCCACTGGACCACCAGGGAGTAAAGGTAGGTTCTGCTCACCCTCAGCCTCCCCACCCCTCCACCAGCCTCACCACCACTCTCAGCCTCCCCACCCCTCCACCAGCCTCACCACCACTCTCAGCCTTCCCACCACCCCAACTCCCTCACCACCACCCTCAGCTTCACCCCCCACATCACACTCAGCCTCACCTCACCACCCTCAGCCTCACCCCCACACACCAGCTCACCCACCCCCACCACCCCAGCCTCACCACCCCCACCACCCCAGCCTCACCACCCCACCATCCCTCAGCCTCACACACCCCTACACCACCCTCAGCCTCACCACCCCCCACCACCCACACCACCCCCACCACCCCACCACCCCCTCAGCCCCCACCTCCCCACACCACCCTCAGTCCACCACCACCCCCACCACCCCTCAGCCTCACCACCCCCACTACCCCCTCAGCCTCACCACCAGCCCCTCACCACCCCCCAACACCCTCAGCCCCACCCTCCACACCACCCCTCAGCCTCACACCACCCCCACCACCCTCAGCCTCACCTCCTCCCTCAGCCTCACCACCCCCACCACCTCAGCCTCACCAACCCCACCACCCTCAGCCTCACCACCCCCACCACACAGCCCTACCCACCCCCCAACACCCCTCAGCCTCACCACCCCCATCACCCTCAGCCTCACCCCCACACCACCCTCAGCTTCACCCACCCCCACTACCCCAGCTTCACCCACCCCCACCTCCCTCAGCCTCACCACCCCCACCACCCTCAGCCCCACCACCCTCAGCCCCACCACCCTCAGCCCCACCACCCCTCAGCCCCACCACCCCCAGCCTCACTCACCCCCCACCCCACCCCAGCCTCACCAACGCCACCACCCCTCAGCCACCACCCATCCCCAGCCTCACCATCAGCCTCACCCCCCACACCACCCTCAGCTCACCCACCCCCCCACCACTCTCAGCCTCACCACCCCACCACCCCCTCAGCCTCACTACCCCCCACCACCCCTCAGCTTCATCACCCCCACCACCCTCACCACCCTGAGCCTCACCCCCCACACCACCCTCAGCCTCACCTCACCAGCCCCCACCACCCTCAGCCTCACCACCCTCAGCCTCACATACACAGGTAGACAGTGCCTCAATGTGTATATGTGACACTTTTTTGTTAGTGGGGCCTCATGTTTGAGTTTCACCTAAGGCCTCATAAAGTCTAGAGCCGCCTCTGTTTATTACTATTTTTAGTGTCCCTTTAATCAGCTAGTACTAGTTCTAAACACAGAAAGTAGTACTTAATTGTCAACATGTATTTATTTATTTTTTTGCACTTTATGAATGCATGTCCCAAAAGATTTCAAATAATTGTTCCCAAGTTTTATATTGGCAGCAAATTAGTTTTACAACAAACTGTCTTGCAGCAGAGAAAATATGAATTATATCACCAATCCTAACAGTAAAATCACATCTGGTGCAATAACTGTTGTGTATGTAGCAAATTGGCCAAGCATTGTTAAATGTCGCTCACACTCTGCATCAGAGCTTTTAATGCACGTTGTGATATGTCACTCACGGAGCAGCATGGGATTTGAAAACATGAACTGCTCATGGAAGTACAGCATGTATATTTTGTGGTGAAAGTGTGTATACAGTGGCATACAGTGGGGTGGGTGACAGAGGAACCGTTTAATTATGTTATTATTTAGGTGTATTTTTCAAGTTTATTCCATACTCCCTGCTTCTTACCTTTATCCAAGGAGTAGACATATTCAGATGTTTGGTGGTTTGGTGGTGAGTAACTCTAGCTTGCACATCCACCGGGTGCAAACTTAGGATACTTTTCTTCCGAGTTCCAGCACTGTGTGGTGTTGGAGCACTGTCATGATAACCTGTGACAATGCATAAATGCTTGCGGATTGTAAGAAGAATACTCTCAGTCTGTACCCAGCAGAGGTGCAGGCTATAGTCTCCCAGGCTCCCCTCCCCGCCATACATGCACTGATCAGGTATTCAGGCATTTTTGCAGGTGTGTGTGTGTATATATATATATATGTATACACACATCCCATCCAAATATAAGACCATCCCAGACCACCAAATGATTATATCATGATTTACTGTTACTGTACAGTTATCGCACTACCACTACTTTTGTGATAGTGACGGTAAGTAAGTGTGAAGCCAGTGACAAGTTTGTGAAGCCAGTGACTTCAGCAGGGTGACTGAGGGGTGACAGTGTATAGAGGCTTTATATGTGGTCGATGGAGAAACAATATTTGGGGAAGCTGAGTTAAAACACAGTCTCCCCATACTGTAATTGCCTTTTTTTTGTTTTTAATTCTTTATTTTAAGTTTTCAAGGTGAGTACAAACAAACAGGAAGGGGGCACAGAAACACTAACTGATAGCCCAATGGGCTTCTAGAGCAGCTACAAGTCTTTCAGTCTGGCGCACTATGATGACATCAGAGCACAGGCTGGAAAACCTGACATCTGTGCTCTGAAGCCCTCACAGAATGCCAGAAGCACTACCACCAGAGAGGAACCATTGCTAAAAGGCAGCACAGGAAGGTATTTTGATCTCCCAGCTAGGTGGAGAGGGGCCCGAACAGAGCCATAGCTCCATCTGGCTCTGGTGTGGCAACACCTTCAAGTGGCACTTAGGGTATGTGCCATGCCTGCCATACCCTAGGTATGCCACTGAAGGACATGCATAAACATATAAATATTTTGTAAACCCGGTCCTGGTATACTGCAAGCAACACTAAAAATCTTTATTCAAGGATACCTCAACTGCTACAAGCTCTACACTACCTGACAGGCAATGCTAACACATTCTATCTTTTCCCAATACTGGTAACCTCTCCAGAGCCAGATTGCATGATAAGCGACCCTCCAATGGCCCGGGTTCCACTCCCAATGAAGCTCCTGGTCTAATTTGGCCCCTTCTCCCAAAATCCTTCACTGGTGGTCCATGGTTCCTTGCAGTTCTGGCACTCCATGAGGGAGTCAGACCACAGGCAACGAGAATCCCAACCTGCACTCTGACATCCTCAAATAGCACTTGACCAGACCAACGGACGCACCAACAGCCCATTGGACCATCAGGGAGCCCACTGGGCCTCCAAGGAATGTAGGCCCTCTTATTTCCCCTTTCCTTCATGGGAGGTAAGTAGGAGGGTGGCAACTGTAATAAATAAAAATAAAAGGAATTACTATGTGGGGAGACTGTGTTTAACACACACACAGTTCCCATACATACTTACTTACCATGTCACAATTACTCACCTCTCAAGCTTGTCGCACCCATTACCTGCCACACTGACCCACCCTCACATCTCACACTCACTCCCCTCATGCTTTAACAACGCCACCAAACCCTGTCAGTCACATGCCTCGCCATGCTACACTCAACCCCTCCCTCTGTTACACTTACAGTCATCTACTTTTGTACCCTATCACAGTTACTCCCTGAAGATAGTCATAAGCACAACAGTCAAACTCTCACAACACACGCAGCCCCCTGTTGCACACACAACACAAGCAAGTGCCCCACACATATACGTTCCCAGACACACAAAGATACTCGGTACATACAGGTACACAATGCCAGAGACACACTCAGTCATAATAACACACACACATTTGCAGGCACAAATGCATGTACACAATGCCAGAGACACAGAAACACTAATTCAGAAATGTGCACACACACACACTCTCAGGTATATACACAGGTACATAATGCTAAGATACAGACATACTCTGCCTCCACCACACAAACAACACATGCTTACACAAAACATAAAGCCCATGTATCAAGGAGGGGACCCAATTTGGCACCCTGTCTATGGCCCTAGGCAACTTTAATCCTGCTCTGAACATCATATCTATATCTAGCACCATACACTCTCCTACTCCTGAGAGAAGCACTATAAAGGTTTTTTCTAATTACTATGAGGGGTGCAGCAAATGTTCTGTAGGTATATGCAGTGAACACTGCACTCTACATGATCTCTGTGAAGAAATCCCTATTTATTCACCTTAGTTCACCTTCATTCATTCGGTGGATCTAACTACCGAACAAAGACCACCCCCCTGGCTCATTAAGCTTCAAAGGATTTGTCACTTAACCCCTCTATCTGTGCGGCCAGCGTTCGTACTACCGAACGCCACGTGGCTGAGAAAAACCCGGCCATCTTTTTTCAGCCGAACAAAGACAGCGGGACTTGGTCGTCGAGTGTCTGGAACTAAAATTGGACACTCGACTTTCTGAACACCGGTCTCCAACAGGCGAACGCTGGAATTATATTTCCCAAATAGCTAGAAGACCCCTATTCGGTACTTTTGTGCATTCGACGGAGGGGAACAATCGCTGCTGAGAGCCAGGGGGATCCATTCGGTATTTTATTCGTTTTTTTCCCTTTACTGAAGTGACTGGCAAAACCACCAAAACTCATGGAACTATTTTGGGCAGCCACCCCACGGTTAGCCGGTCATAGAAGACTTCCACCTTTTTTGAGAACCCCTGAACTGATCTGGGTGAAATTTGAATATGTTGGTCACCCAGATCGGGGCTATCATGGGACATATTATTTGTGGGGATACCTCATAAAGGCGTGTTCCACATATTGGGGAAAATTTTGATTTTTCTGCCTGGAGATAATCAAGTTATTACTTTATCAGACTTGATTATCTCCAGGACCAGGGGAGGGAATTGTATGTGTGTACTGGGTATGTGTGTACTGGGTGTGTTTTATGCTTTTACTGTGCCGGATTGGTTAAACTCTGTCCCTCCCTGTGGGATGTCCCCTTGCATGGGGTCTTGCATAAAAGCCTGTGTGTGATCATTAAAGCTCAGTTCAGTTGTACCCTTCTTCTTGACTTCAGCTGATGTTTGGGGATTCGTGTGCTTTATTAAGGGAATTATCTTATGAAGCTATTTGGATTGCTATATAGTTCGTCTATTTCATCTACCGAATAGAGAGCTATATTCACCGATGCTCTGGCGGTCCGGGAGGAAACTACCGAATGAGGATTACATATACCATGTTTCCTTACAATCCCATATTAATAAAACACCAAATATAAACATATAACCAAAAGTTATAGGTTCAAATCGATATAAAATAATTAGAGCTCAAGTCTGGCATCTTACTGGTCAGAAACAATTAGACAGTATGCTTAAATCTGTTGATATGCATTTATATAGCTTTCCAACCTCATGTAAATATATTTTGCTATTAAACTTGAACTTTTTTTATATTTCAGGCTCTCAAGAAATAGGAAGAAAATGTTTTCTGAGTACATAACTATGAAAGAAGATTGATATTAGAATGTTGGAAAACTATGCTATATTAGAACAGTTGTCTATCTTCATGGATTGCCTACATTTTTTTTTGCTGTATAACTTTGTGCAAGAATACTGCTAGCTTGTTATTTTAGATATGAAAGATATTATAGGTAGCTACATAAAATGTGAAATCATAATGTTGACCTAACTTCCAGTCTTTTGACATATGTAGCCATTCCTGAAATCATACATGTAGTATTGCAGGTTGAACATTGATCTATATATGTGCTGATGTGATGTTATAACCTAGTCTAATTCCACAAAAATGTATTTTTATTTTTATTATTAATGTAAATAGCTTTATCAGTCTTGTATTCAGTCTAAAAAGCTCAAAATAAGTGCACAATGTAAGAAAAATAGATAAATCAAATATAAAACAAACTATAAGCATTATAAAACAAAATCTGGTAGTTTTATAGTCCATACAGTATGGAGTAACTTAATCAAGCAAATAAACTAAGCAAACTAATTACCCACTGTTATACTATTACCAGCAGCAACAGCACCTTATTATTATTATTATTAAAAAGAGCCAATATTAAAGAACTGCATAATGAGTTCACAAGATATGCAAATGAATTCAACACACAAGTTTGACTGACATGAATAATAGTAAGTAATAGGCAGCAAGGGTCAAGATCAAACTAATTTACAGTCTGGAGGATGAAGATGTCTTAGCTAATTGTGTTCAGGGACAATAAGCCAATAGTTATAGTAGTGGTGGTGTCGGTAGTCGGTAGGGGTGTGCCAAAACCGACGTTCGGGTAGGCCTGTAAAAAGATGGCCCACCAATATTGAACTTGATAAAGGGAGCAGTGGGTGGACTGAACCCAGCAGTATTGGTCCAGAGGAAGGGGAGGCCTGTGTATTTATAGGCTGGGTGACCCTTCCAACAACTTCTGGCTCTGCCTACAGGCTCAGCCTTTCTATTTTTGAATTCCCACTAGGATCCAGGAGGTACAGACAAATTATTCTCCAGATCTAAATATCTAGATTATCTGACAACTTAAAGGAACACTCCACTGCACATGAACACACACACACATCACTGTTTAATAGATATAACCCCAATTAAAATATGCATGCATATAATTATGCATTTTATCTTCATTGGTATATCTAAAAACAGCTTTCACAAGCTGCAGATCGAATTTGCAGCCTTTGTAAGCCCTGCGCTTCTAACCCAGCAAAGACTTTCTGTGACTATCCAATCACAGGCCTTCCAAAGCAGCGTAATGACAAGTCTTTCTAAAGCATGCACTCTGAGCAATTGCTGCCTCTTGAGTTTAGTTCCACTGAGCTAAATAACCAGGAAGTAACCAGCTCCATCATCTAACAGCTAGGGGGAGTAAGAACGTTCATGTATAAAGGTGCCAATTTGTATTAATTTGTACAAATGAAGTATATAGGGTTCACGGGGTGAGCAGCAGAAACGGAATTTATTTAAATCACCAAGGACAAAACAGCATAAAATATTTTGGCCAATAGGCTATTTTTGTATAGATTGATACATTGGGGTTTTGTTGCCCCCTTTTGCAAAAGATTTGTTTATGACCTTTGTTTCTGTGTGCAGTACCCCATTAATATTGTCAATTTGTAATGAAATCTACACTTTTAAACAATGGGGAAAAAAGAGGACACACTCTTCACACATCACATCAGTAAGCTACTTATATATCCCTTTAGGGTTCTGGAGTGCCCTATTAATTTTATTGGTCCAATCGAAATGCCAAAGAGTAGTGATAGCTGTACATGTTTGGGTATAATTGAACCGTACACTCATACTGATACTCTTTAATAAACATATAAGCATACACTGTGCATTTTTACATAGTTAACATTTACTCATTAGCTATGAACATGAATAAATACAATAGAAATTAAAGCACTATACACTCCTACGGCTCCTCCAGTCTGCCATTGAGCACAGGATTTCACAACTAAAAAGTGCATTATCAGAATTTAAGATTCCCGCTGGACTAGTAAATTCTGAGGACTTATGTTGTTCTCTGCATCTAGATAATTGGATATTGAATTTCACAGGCTTCAAATATTTAACTGAGTACTCTCTCAACCTATACAGTAGTAGTCGTCTTTAAACATGCTAAAGTTCTTGGAGTGAGCTGTACTGGATAGCAACCAGTTAAGACCCTGGATTCTCCATGCTTTAAAAGATGAATGTAGAAAATTCCCAGTAATTATTTATTATGTTGCTTTATGAACATTGTGGATAATATATTGTAAATAGAAGTCTTAAAAGACTGTGCAGAGGCTATCCATTTGGAGATCAGGGCTGCACTAGCCAATTAAAAAATATTCAAACTCTTGGGCAAGCATTGGACATATGAAGCATATTTATATGTTGCATTAGCAAAATACCTCATAAAGTTAGAGAACAAATTATGACCTATATTTTCTTTTAGTATATTTGCAATACACCATAATTTTGATATATGTAACAATTTGTTAGTAACTGATAGTTGAAACTGTATATACAATTGTTACAATGTATCTGCAAATATGCTTATTTTAACTGAACAACTGAACAACTAGTATTTAAACTGGATTGATGATATTAAAAAATATAGAATAAAGAGAAATATGCTGTCATACAATGCTTAAATTCACTTGTTCTATCAAGTACAAAAACTCGGATTTAGAAAGCAGTATGTAGCATTTTGAATTTGATCATTTCTTTTCAAACATTGTTGTAAATGTTGTCTGTAATATATTGTGAACTCAAAGCAGTACTGCTCTCTAAAAACAGCATTGTATTACATATGAAGGTGTAAAGGTTACAGTTAAAGCACCAAAACAACTCAGTTAAGCAGTTTTTGGTGTGTATATCATGCCTCTAGAGTCAACACTGCTCAATTCTCTGCCATTTATTTATGAAGCACTAGCCACACTTTCCCTGGTTGTCACTCACAAAGCCTCCATGACAAACAAGATTTTATTTTAAATCAGATCTTACATCACAGTGTGTTTCCCTTATTGTCATGGGCGTCCGCAGGGAGGGGTAAGGGGGGGCACTTGCCCCACCCCCCTGTATTTTTCAGCTTGTTCTGCTATTTTTCGTGTGATTGAAAATGAACTGCAATACCGGCCAGTAGGTGGCGCTGTGTATAGAGAGAGACAGGGATAGGAAGCTGCATCTTATCCCTGCTTCTCTCTGCTGTTTGAGACCGCAGGGGAACAACACATGCAGCCAGAGACAGCCTACAGATCAGGTAAGTGGGGCATGGTGAGAGGGTTTGAGATAGCCTATAGATTTTGGGGGGGAGGGGGCAGCAGCCTATAGATTTGAGGGATGGGGGGAGGGTTTGAGATAGCCTATAGATTTGGGGGGGGCAGCAGCCTATAGATTTGGGGGGGGGCAGCAGCCTATAGATTAGGGAAGTGAGCATAGGCGTGCGCAGCCTATTGCAATAGGGAGTGCACCCTAAAGCACAAACACACGCCATGTGTATATGTATGTGTGTGTATATATATATATATATATATATATATATATATATATACACTGCTGTGTGAGGGTGCTGGTAGTGTGCTATGTGGGTGAGGGTGTTTTTGTGTGTGTTTGTGAGAGTGCTGTTAGTGTGCTGTGTGTGAGGGTGCTGTTTGTGTGCTGTGTGTGAGGGAACTGGTAGTGTGCTGTGTGTGTGTGAGAGGGTGTTTGTGTGTGTGTGTTTGTTCGGGTCCTGTTAGTGTGCTGTTTGTGTGCTGTGTGTTTGTCAGAGTGCTGTTTGTGTGTGAGTGTGCTGTTTGTGTGTTTGTGAGGATGCTGTTAGTGTGCTGGGTGTGTGGGGGTGCTGTATGTGTGTGGGGGCTGTGTGTGCTGTGTGTGTGTGTGTGTGTGTGCTGTATGTTTGGGTGGAGGTGGGGGCAGATTAGTTATTATCCCAGTCCTGCTGCCTTCCCTGGTGGTTCAGTGGAGAGTGAACTCTAGCCCGGGTTCTCTGCTGCCTCCCTCCATACTGCTGTGGACCGGTGAGGTAGAACTTTGATCTCCCCACCGGCCCATGGAGGCTTAGACCAGAGCCGCCGCTCGGATAGCGTTGTCGTGCCGCGGGGATTAGGGTGTGCCCATGCACACCTGACACACCCCGTGCTCACGCCTATGGAAGTGAGGGATGGGGGAGACAGCCTACATGAAGAGTCAGCAAGGAGCAGGAAGGTAAAGTAAGAAAAGGAGAAGGAACAGAAATAAGCAGGAAGGGACATCAAGGAGCAGAAAGGGGCAGCAAGGAGCTGGAAGGGACATCAAGGAGCACAAAAGGTAAAGTAGGAGAAGGAGCACAAAGGAACAGAAATGAACAGGAAGGGTCAGCAAGGAGCTGGAAGGTAAAGCAGCACAAAGGTAAAGTAGAAGGAGCAGAAAGGGTCAGAAATGAGCTGGAAGGGGCAGAATGAGCACAAACGTAAAATAGGAGAATGAGCAGGAAGGGCCTGCAAAGAGCAGGAAGGAGCACAAAGGTAAAGGAGCAGAAAGAATCAGAAGGAGCACAAAGGTAAAGTAGGAGAAGGAGCACAAAGGGACAGCAAGGAGCACAAAGATAAAGTAGAAAAGGGAGCAGAAAGGGTCTGCAAGGAGCAGAAAGGGATCAGAATGAGAAAGGAGCAGAAGGGTGCAAAATAAGCAGAAAGTAGCAGAAAGGTAAAATAGCAGAAGGGGCCAAGGATAGAAAACAGTGTCAGAAGATATTTTATTGTTCAATACAAACTTGATTCTACAGTTTAACACAACATAGTTCAATGTGTAGTCATAGGACATGCCATTATTTGAGATTAGTGTAAGAGAATCTCTAAGGAAGCAGCTGTTACCATTATGTTTAAGTGACTTCCTCATCATTGATAAACAGGAACCAGGTTAGAGACAGTTACAGTTTAAAAGAATAATGGAAGTTTAATAGTATATTAGAGCGTCTTGAGAATTTCAATATGAAAACCAAAAATACAAATACCACACTTAAAGCATCAAAACACGATGAAATTGTAGTTAGTATGTCTATATTGCCACCTAATACGGGGCAAAATAAGAGAGGCAAAAACAGCTTGTTCTTGAAATAGATAAAACAAATATTTTCTATAATGAATTCATGTAACATAAGTGTGTGCATTAAATAATATATATATATATATATATATATATATATATATAATACAGCTGAAACTATACAAAAGGACATAGAATAAGTAATTAATAAATAGAGCTGTTATAGTACACATCTTACATTCATTTTAGGAGGTATCATTTATGTGAGTAGCTATGGTGTCTCGCAGTCATACACTAAAAAACCCTATGTTTAAGGTCTCAATGAGAAACGATCAGGAAATAAAAATTATTTTATTTGTAGGTCTGTGACCATGTATAAATTGAGGAGTAAATACATTTTAATTTACCCTCAAACAACAGGTACATCACAGAAAAAAGGGACACATTTTGTTTCAACTACCTGTAAAGCTCAAGGCCAGTTGGATACTGTTACAACTGAATTTACAAGTCCCAAAGAAAAAAACCTTAAAGGAACACTATAGTGTTAGTAATTCATGTATTCCTGACATCAGAGATGAAAAAGTTAAAACTTACCTTTTCTCCCACGTTGCACCAGTCTCGCCGTGGCTGACTCCATCTCCATGGCTGAGATAATTAGTCTTGATGATCTTAGACACCAACCAGCATCTCCTCATTGTGATTAGCAAGCACCACTAGTGGCTACCACTAAAGTTGTTACTAGACACTAATGTAAACACTGTCTTTTCCCTGGATGGCAGTATTCACAGTGCTAGGACTACAGGGACATGCATTAAGCTGTAGTAGTTCTGGTGACTATAATGTCCCTATATTTCCATTTATCAAATGCATAAAGCGGAATCATATAATTATTCTCCATTATATTAATTGAGGGGCCCATTTCCCTGGTGCCAAGTAACATCACCTGTGTGGTGATGTTACTTGGCACCAGGGAAATGGGCCCTTCAATTAATATAATGTTAGGTGACATCACACAATGGAAGTGCCAGTGGTGGGGGAGGTTGTCTTTCATTGCTAATATCACTGCCCCCACATCACTTAGAGGTAACGTTCACTGTTTCAAAAACCATTTGTCCCACTAAGTTAAAGGTGACAAGCACAAAATCAGAGAGCACTTGTGTAATGGTATTTATTAATTAATGACTTTTTGTCATAAAAAAGCATAATGAGCTTAATGCTTTAGACGCACCACTAGATGTCAGTAAAGTATAATGAGCTTAATGCTTTAGAGGCACCACTAGGGGTCAGTGTGCTAACTCATGTGCTTCTGGCAGTGACATCACAGGCCAGCCTACTTACTGGATAAAACCAAATAGTAGAAGGATTTTCAGCCTCCTTTTTCCTTTGCTTGCATTGATTGAACATGTAGCTGTGTGTATAGCTCCAGCCAAACAGGCTGGAGCCGTGTAAGTAATCTATTATAACAGCTAGCAACTGTTATAGCCTTTTATAAGTAATGTTGTAGTTTTGTATTGTGTAATTATTGTGGTAAATTGACATTCTGCTAGCATTTGTTTAATTATTATAATTATATTAAATATACATTTAATACTACAATGTTTTGTGTATTTCCTATTATATATTCGACCATAATACCGAACTCTATTAGTGTTAAAGTCGTGACTTAAATATGAATATTAATTTAATAATTAATATATAATAATTAAGCAACAAATAACAACATTAATGGCTCCCAAAAACTAACAAACCACACACAATTGTAAAAATGGAAATTTTCTTTCTCAAATTAGGAATCTTATACCCCTCTAGGTAGCATGAGATTACTATAGGAATTACAGTCACCTGTCTACCAGAAGAAATAGAAATCATATGCAGGATAAGGTTTTGTGCAACTATTAATTTTTTACTAGAGTATGGGAATTTGGACAGGGGTGGGATCATGACTATTTCATAAATCACCCACTTTAAAGTGATAATTGGTGTAGCTGCCATTATATTTCATTTTTAGATATTTTATTCCTATTTATTTTCTGTGTTTAATAGATGGTACAATGTAACAAAGCAATGTATACATATATCTTGGTACATTTAACATTGGTACTAAATCGCACTTAATTTTTATTTCATTATATAAAATGTTAAAGTATATTTCGAATTGTTTTTTTTGTTTGCTTTTTAAAATAACCTCCACGCTGCTGTTCTCAATTTTCATTATGGAGAATAGAACCCCAAATTCCTTTCTTCCGCATATTCTATGCTGTATTTTTTTGAGAAGTTCCACTTTTGGTATACTAAATGCATGTTCTGCAAAACAACAACAAAAAATTGCAAGAAAAACAAATATAGAATTTATGAGGATGACTTACAGAATAAAAAACACTGATATTGGTGTTTAACGTGAACTTGTTATGACCGGTTTTCTTTGATACAAATTACACCTATAGGCATTGAATACATATTTCATCATATAGATAAATTATATATTCAATGTAAAATATTTAGATAAGAACATCACATACCTCCTGTTCAGTGCCCCCATTTCCTCAGCTCTGCGTATGTTACAATATTGTGATACTCAACTATGTCAGAAACACTTAAAATAAGTGAGTGCAAACTATAAACATGGCTTTAGCTTAAAGAGTTAAAAGAGAGCCAACCAAGACTTATGTAATTTTGGTTACCACGACGATTACCTACTTGGAGAATTAAAACACAACTGTTCAATAAATCCCTTTACAGATGGAACTGGTTTACGATATTTGAATATGAAGTGATCCTACTCTGCTCAGCTTGACTTTAATATTGGAATTTTCACTCCAGTTGAAATGCCTTCTTTTTGACTAAAATTGTGGCTTGAAATCACAAATCAAATGTGAATTTATATCACAAATTGTTGAAGACCATAGAAAAATGTAACCAAAGGCATTGAAACCAGGTCTACTGACGTATGCAATGCTCAAGAGTGACCATTCCCAAGTTGGAGAGATTGAGTTTAGATTCTCACTATTACACTTTGAGAGTTCAATACAGATTGTGTGGGAGTTACAACGTATATCACTGCTTAGCTGATTGTTCATGAAACATCTGTTTAAGAGTCTCAATTTTCTTTCTAATGTTGTTGACGGGACAATTCTTTATTCTTTCCTGTAAGAATTGATCTATTTGAGTATACCAATTATCCATCCAAGTAGTGCTTTTCCCATGGCAGAGGCCAAGTCCTCGATAAACTTTTGTCAGGAAAGCAACAATTTTCTCATCACTGCACATTTTGCATCTTTGGAAAATCCAGCCCCACCATCCCTGCCAAAATTCTTCACCATAGTCATTGTCAATGTGAACAACAATGACTTTCTTGTGAGGATTTACTATTAGAGCTGCAAGTTCGTCTGCTTGTAGTTTATTTCCAAGAAGCCTGAAATTAAAAAACACAAACATTTTGATTTTAACACTCAAGACACATTGCATGGACAAAATATCCAATAAAATTGATATAGTGTATGTTTAGTTTTAATGAAAAAATATCTGACTTATCAAGTATTACCAGACAAATTTCTTTTTAAAACATTTTATGGATTTAATAAGACATAATTAAAATTATTGTGCCATAGTTCAATGCACAGGTCAATGTTGGACTGGGTTTTTTCTATTAACTCATGCTATCTTTCGTTTTGTTTCTCATAAAAAAGGTCTAACCTGTCTGAGCATATAATATTACATTAGCATATTGCAGGAGAAAAAAAAAAATCTAATCAAGAAACCAAACATCTGCAGATCTACAGAAAAAGATATGAGCAGAAAAACAGATATGACATCTAAAATAATATATTTAAAGAGACACTCAAGGCTGGATGCATTTTTCATTTCAGTATGCATAGATACTGCATTATTTTATGGAAACAAAAACATTTTTGACTAGACAGAAAAACCTTTTAAAAATAGTTTACCAATGAATGTTGTTACAGATAGGACAACAGATTTGTAAATAATACAATTTCTCAATATGTAACAGACTTTTTTTACTCACATAGGTTATAATCCTCTCCTCTATACATTGTCGAATATGCACCAATTTCTCACTTTTGTGTGCGTGTGAGTGTGTGTGTGTATGTATATATACACACATACATATATTTCCCTATGTTTATTGTATATATTGCCATGTTACCATGACATTACCATATCACCCTCAAATTGCAGACATATTGCCACTTTGGACACACCCACAAATGCATGTGCACACATATACCCATTGATACATACATGCATGTATATATATATATATATATATATATATATATATAGTCACTGTGATATATGCACTCGAAACACGCATACACATAAACACTTCGATACACACACAACATACTGATGTAAAGAAACATGCAGACACACATACATTGACAGGTACAGTCACACAATCACAGTATGTGTCTAGCAGTGTGAATTGATACACATTTGTGCATGTCTGGCATTGTGTAGCGTGTTTCTGGCAGTGAGTATCCTTGTGCATCTGTGAGTGTATACCTATGTGTATGTGTATCCATGACTGCACCAGCAAAGCTTATCTGTATCTATGTGTGCCTGTGTATCTCTGTGTCTGTGAGCAGATTTATCTCTTTGCCTGGGAGCGTATGTGTGGAGAGAGCTTGTGGTCTTGCTGTGTGCACTGTGTTTACAGTGGGACTGTCTTGTTTGTGTGAGGGGTGACTATGTGAGTATGAGGGTTACTGTCTGTGGAGTGCTGTTTGTGCCTAAGGGTGTCTGTGTGTTTCTGAGGGTGGCTGTTGCAGGGTGGTTGTGACAGAGTAACTATGATGAGGGACATTTGGCAATGTGACTCCAAGTGAGGGGCAAGTGATGGGAGTGACTGTGTGTGAGCAGTTAGTGTGTGGTGACTGTGTGTGAGGGGACTGTGACAGGGTGACTGTGTATGGAGAAGGGATGATGTGACAGGTTGACTGTATGTTTGAGGTAGGGAATTTTGTGATAGGATGAGTGTGAGAGGAGGTAATATGACAGCGTGACTGAGTATGTGGGGAGAGGGAGTTATGTAACAGGATAAATGAGTGTGTTTGGGCGAAGGGGATGATGTCATAGGATTACAGAGTGTGTGTGGGTGGAAGGGGAGATGTCACAGCACGTTTGTGTGAGGGAGAAGGTGTGCTGGAAGGGGTGATATGACAGCATGAGTTTGTGGGAAGGTATATTGCATATGGGGTGGCTGTATTTCCTTGTTCAGCCTGCCCATACATTGGTGCTTGTTTTCTTTGCAGGTGAGGTGAGGTGAGGTGAGTTGCTCACATCCTTAAGCTCTCCACTTCAGCCACCCTCCATTTGCTCTGTGAGAGCTATCCAGTGTCTGCCAACAGCTACTCTCCTGCTGTGTTTCAAATGGAGCAGGGAAGATCTGCTATCATATTTCATCCCTGCAGTGTTGTATGTGAATACAGCACAGACATGGGAGAATTAGCTAATACAAAATTAAGCCTTGAGCTCAAACTCCCATTCCTTCTGGGTGGCAGCAATGACTGTATTACACATCAGTCCCAATTCATAAATTAAAAAAAACAAATACAAAAGTTTGTATATTTGAGATTGAGCACAAAGCTTAATTTTGTATGTTTGCATTTGCCATGGTATTACATAGCCATGTTACAGTGCTGTTGATCACCCCACATGTTCCCTATTATGTGTTAATAAGTGTGTAGGGTTTCAGAAAAATGCAATTCTCTGTCCCTCTAGAGATTATACCATTTAGCAGAAAGCAGAAATGTGAATTTTTAGTGTAGTACTCACGTAAGAGGTTTTGCCTTGACGTGGCAGGTGAGCGTACACTTGAATGGCTATTTGAGTGATACTAAAAAACCTCCAGTTATTTAAATCGGCATAGAGATTTGAGATAGTGCGCAAGAAACCTTTTTCTTAGTGAAGAATGAGTTGCTGGTCACTTCCCCCACTTCCCCCCTCCCCTCCAGTGCTGCTGCTCGGGCTGCCAGAGGACAGACCTGAACACAGAGACAGTTACTCTCTGTGTTCAGTTATGTGAAGGTCACATCTTGGTGGCTTTTAGTGCTACTGAGCTGTGACTTTCAGCACTTGCTAAAGGCAGAATTTGCTAATGAAATTCATTTGCAAAAAAAATGTAATTTGCTATTATGCAAATTCTGTATACACAATTGCTGGGTATGAATGCATGTGAAGGGGTCAAAGTGTAGATATTGCACTTATGTTTCAATCTACTATAAATTTGTTATTCTGTGTGCTTGTCTGCATTGTGTATAGGAAGAAGGAACTAGCAAATTTTAAAACACTATTTAGAAGGGACAATTCCAATACTTCTGTCACTCTTTTCTATCCTAATGTCCTTCTTTTATAGGAGCCTCATGTTGTTGATTTGTCTGTGTGTAAAAATGAGCTCTACAGCAATAATACTCACACTAATGTGTCTTTAAAGTACAATACGTATGATTTAACATCAGCCGGTTTAAATTAGAAGTGTTTTTTTTAGCTCTTAATCAACTTTTTGTTGCATAAATTGTTATTAGTAAGTCAGCTAAAGAGCTCCACCCCCAGCCACACCCCCACTCACACCCCTAAATTGAAA